AAAGACATTTGTGTGCAAGTTTTTGCATGTACATGCGTTTTCCACCCCTTTAGGTAAATGCTAGGGATTGTGGTTACGAATTACATGGTAGCAGTGTGTGTGGTTTCCTTAAGCAGCCTCCCACCTGTCTTCCAGAATGTCTGCAACAGTTCCTCCCAGCAGGGAATGAGAGTTCCTGCTGATCCCCCACCCTTGCTGACCGTGGTGTAAATCTTGCCATTCTACTCAACATTAGTTGAGGGTCTCAGGGATGTCTCCATCTTCAGTTCTCTAGTGATGTCTTTTCATATGGCTGTTATCTTGTATCACGTTTAGTAAGGTGCTGGTTCAACTATTTTGATCATTTTTTTTTTAAAGATTTATTTTTTTATTATGTTTTTATTGGAAAGGCGGATATACAGAGAGGAAGATCTTCCGTCCGATGATTCACTCCCCAAGTGAGCGCAACGGTCGATACTATGCCGATCCGAAGCCAGGAGCCTCTTCCGGGTCTCCCACGCGGGTGCAGGGTCCCAAAGCTTTGGGCTGTCCTCGACTGCTTTCCCAGGCCACAGGCAGGGAGCTGGAAGGGAAGCGGGGCTGCCGGGATTAGAACCGGCGCCCATATGGGATCCCGGGCGTGCAAGGCGAGGACCTTAACCACTTGCGCCACTGCGCCGGGCCCTTTGATCATTTTTTTTATTGAAACTTTTTCTTATTGCTTAATTTTAAGAGTTCTTTATCTGTTGAAGCTACCAGTCCTTTATCTGATATGTATTTTGCAAATATTTCTTCCAATCTGTGGCGTGTCTTTCTTTCTCTTCTTAAATTCTCCTGAAAGAATTAGCTGATACTTAAGCTGGTTTAAATTGCTTGGGGATATACCATTTTTTATTTCTTAAGGTTTATTTATTTATTTGAAAGAGTTACAGAGAGAGAGTTACAGAGAGAAAAAGACAGTGAGAAAGAGAGATTTTTCCATCTGCTGGTTCACCTCCCACATGGTAACAATGGCTGACGCTGGGCTAGGCCAAGCCAGGAGCCAGTATCTTCTTCCAGTACTGCCATGCAGCTAGCAGAAGCCCGGGCACTCGCTCCATCTTCCTGCTTTTTCAGGGTATTGGCAGGCAGCTGGATCTGAAGTGGGCAGTGGGTCCTCTGCAACTACTGCCTCTATCAGATGCCAGCGTTGCAGGAGCTGGCTCTACCCACCATGCCACGCAACCAGTCCTAGGATGAGTCTTTCTTAAGGATATTTAAAGCCTTCTAGATTATTGAGCCCATCCACCCTATCAAAAACAGAAATCTAATTTTCCAGGGATAATATTAGGAGAGGGCAGGTGACATTGGCTACTACTTAGTAAAGTAACATTGATGGTTCTGGAAGATGTCATAGAAATCAGTGTATATGCACTGCGAAAGCCACTGAGTCAGAGATAACTGAATGACTCACAAGGAACTGCCACAAAAGCAAGAAGTCTTAGACACCTTGCATTAGGCAAGTCATCCATTAGTTTAGAATACCTCTGTCAGATTTCCTGAAAGATTTCCCCAATTTTTGACTCATTGTACCTGTACCTGAGCACATCCAGTGACAGGAAAGTACCTAGATTTAATCATTTAAGGAACAGCATGCCTTGGGGAACCATAATATTTACTGTACTTTCTTTGCAATTTCCAGTCTGCCTTGAGCTTTAGTGATATGGCAAAGGTTATTGCCTGATGGTACACGTGACTGTCAACAGACAGAAATGGTTGCCTTGGAACGCTTAATGATATGCTAGGGAAACCAACTGAGTGACAAGTATCAAGAGTTTAATTTTAGAATTTGGGGAGCTTGTAAAGATGCAGTCCAGGGGTTAAGTAAATTCCATGTCATGTCCTAACTCCATTTGCTGGCAGTGTCTGTCTTCACAATGTGGAGAAAGGGGTCGAAATCTATTTCGAATCCTTGAAAAGGAGCACTTTAACCAATTAGGATTGACTGTAAACAAAGGGGAGGTTCAGTCATAGCCTGGAGCCCATGGTCACTGTAACCTCTTATAGCCTTGCTCAAGGATATAAAATGACTTCAAAAGCTTTTCCAAAGTCACTCAGCTGGCTGGTAGCTGTGCTGTTTAGCAGGTGGAAATTCCATTTTTTTCATTCCAAATAAACACCTGCAGGAGATACCAGACAACTGCTTTTTGTTTTTAGGGCCAGAAAAAAAAAGGGGGGGGGGTAATCTCTCTGTAAAGAATGGGACCACAAAACAACTTATGTTTAAAATATTCAGTACATTAGGGCCAAGCGTGGTAGCCTAGCGGCTAGCGTCCTTGCCTTGCTTGCGCCGGGATCTCATATGGGCGCAGTTTCTAATCCTGGTAGCCCCACTTCCCATCCATCTCCCCACTTGTGGCCTAGGAAAGCAGTCTAGGACGGCCCAAAGCCTTGGGACCCTGCACCGGCTTAGGAGACCCAGAAGAGGCTCTGGGCTCCTGGCTTCGGATCAGCTCAGCTCTGGCCATTGTGGCTGCTTGGGGAGTGAATCAACGGACAGAAGAGCTTCCTCTCTGTCTCTCCTCTTCTCTATATATCTGACTTTACAATAAAAATAAATAAATCTGTTTTGTTTTGTTTTGTTTTGTTTTGTTTTATAGATGTGGTACATTCAAGAGAGAGCTATGTGTCATTCACAGAAATCAGATTGTGAGAAAGGGGTGAGGTAGGAGCCAGTTAGCTTAATGGGCTGTGCTGGACCTATTCCGTGCCACCTGGGAGTGACAAAGTGGAAGATGACTCACTGAGCGAGTGCCCGCACAACCTGCAGTGTGCTAAGAATGGATTCCTCCATTGAAAGCTGGCTGTGCTGTGTGGAGTTGGAAAATATGGGAAGCATGGAGGCAGCCAACGCCTTGTAGGGAAGATTTTCAATATTGGCCATTTCTTTTGCTTTTCATGTATTTGTTGGGAAAGAACAGACCACACACTGAAGGTTATTTTTGTGTTATGTGTGTGTGTAAATGACATGGCACAACTCATGAAGACAGGGGAAGGACAGGGCGTGTTAATACTGAAGTTGCTTGTTAGCACCACTCCAAAAAGTCCATGTCTGTTTTTCTGCAGAATAAATAAATCCTGATTTCTATGTATAATTTGTTCATAATACATATTTTCATGAACATTCGAAGACCTCCTATATGCATGAACTTTAATATTCGTTTGAGCCAACATAAGCTTACCTTTTCATTCCATTTTAGGGTTTTTCTGCAAGTATTCTTGTGTGTGTTTCTATAGAAAGAACACATAATAATATGTTTATATTAGTTATTCTCCCATTTCTCCTACCCTGGGCTAAAGTAAGAGTTAAGATTCAAAGGCTTGACGGGTGTCACCAATGGACCGATTTTGAATACATTCTTTTATTTTACTGTCAACTCTCCCAGAGTAGCAGCTGACATGATATCTGCTTTACAAAGGGTTGTTACTGGTTTGTGTAGCCACGAGAGACATGGTTAAGATCCAAACCTGCGCTCTGTGTACTTGTAAAACAGCTTCCCAGAGCCATCAGCACTGTGCTGCAGCTCTCATCTGTGAGCTTGTTTTTAAGTAAATTTTGGAGATGATGCCAATAGAAACATGGGTGGAGGTGGAACCCTTTTTTTGGATGTAATACTTTATGATGTCCCAAGCATAGTTCAGAAGTTACATACTGTCATTTATGAATAAAAGCATTAAACCTTCAAGCGTTTTGCTGTACCATGTATTCATGTGAAATGAGAAACGATACATTGTTGGGCTAACTGTGGAACTATGTTCTCAAACGCACGCTTGATTATTTGCATCATAGATTTATCCTTTTGGTAAAACATTCATGCTTTAGGGAACCAGGTAATTAATTTTCAATATAATTTGAAGTTGCATAATAATAACCTCTATCATTTATTTCTTGGATGCTTAATATTTGGGTTTGCGTGTACTTAGTCAACTTTCATGTATCTCAGTGTTAACACATGAAATCTTAAAGGCAAATATGTTTAAAGTATTAGATATAAAATGTCAATAGCACATAAACAAAAGAGTAATTTGGTTTAATTGTTGCCCCTTAATCCACTGCAGACTCCAAGGCTATGATTAAAGTCCTTGCAAGAATTAGATGAAAGTGCGATAAAAATGTGTCACAATGAATGAAGCTGATGAGTTTTTTTCCCTTTTTCCTGATGACTAATTGATTGTTAAAAAAAAAAAATACAGCATATCTATGAGATCACTAAGCAAATCATAGAAAATGCATATTATGAAAAAATCCATGCATTTCCAAGTTATGAGCTTATCATTTAATTCAATTTCCATGATATTTTGGAAACACCTTTTGTATCTTACATAGGAGAAATAAAAATCTTTAAGCTAAATGCACATTTTATGTTTAATAACCAATATATGTTCTAAAAGGAATTAAAAGAAAGCTCAACACTGCGATTGAAAACAAATTCAGGGCCACTAACAAAAGTAAACATATGAACGATGGTGTCGTAAACTTGAGGAGTGATCCTGAGAATTTTCATGTAAGGATTAGAATATGAAATATTGTGTTTGAGTGTCAGTCTACAACCAAGAAGAGGATGAGGTTTACTCAGGCTTAGAATCTGAGTATAGAGGAGGGAACTGAGTGGGGGATTCATATGTGGATCCTATAAGCTCCCATTCACAGACAGAATTCCTTGATTTCGTTAGACTTGAAGCTTCTCAGTATTGGGGTTGCTTTCCTCAGCTGCTTTGATTTGGAAATTGTCCATCCATCTATCTGCACTCCCTTGTAATGTGATGGGTGGGTGCTTTGATTCTGTCTGCTTATTCATGTGGGATTTAACAGCTGAGACCCATGTTGCTGAGCCTTTTCCAGAAACAGGAACTGGCAAAGTGATTGTACTTGCTACTCACTCACTGAACGTTTAAGCATGTTTCAAATCTCACCCTATTTTATTGGCACCAACCGGGAGATGCTTGTTTGTTGACACCTGTCCTTGTTGTGTTTCCTATAGAAACGGTCCAAGGGGCAAGTGCTATTTGACAAAGTGTGCGAACACCTGAACCTGCTAGAAAAAGACTACTTTGGCCTTACGTACCGAGATGCTGAAAACCAGAAGGTGAGCCATCAAAGACCATGGCAGCTGTTGCTCACTGCTCGTTCCTGCGTGAACGTGATTAACAGGATGGGTGGGAAGCTCTCCACGTGCCCGCGTTAAGACTGTGAGTCCCTCAATGCTGGTAGTCACCTTCTTTCTTCATGAAGGATATCCTTGACAAGTCCCTTTCATCTGAATATTTGAAGAACAGTAAGTCAGCTCTTCTGTTGATTTTTTTTTTTTCAAACTGGAGTTACTGTGGTTGCAGGAAAGCTTTTTCTGGGGTGCCCCTTTGGAATGTCACCATTTAGCAGACTGAGCCAACGGAAAAGAACACCACAGAGATCCTATGTAGACAGCATTTTCACACTCTGAAATTCTCTGAAGAAACCACAATTGCAATTGAGATTGCCAGATTGGGGCTTCTGTGTGATCCTTATTGTCTTGTTATACATTCATATTCTTAAAAGATTAGAAAGTGAGGTGGTGTGAGCTGACCCTTGTCATTGTATGACAACTCAGTAGATGCTCACACCTGACACAGGCTGTTCAGAGCATATACACCACCCTCTGAGAGGCAGGATGAGGACGCTGTCTCCCTCGCACTCCTGCTGGAAACTGAATGGAGGAGGTCTTCCTCATAGGTGGCCCACATTGTAGAGTTGTCCCATGATACCCACTGATGTCCTTGGTCTTCAGGATTAATCATCTGATTTTTCCCCAGGAGGAAAAAGAAATCACAAAGTCTTCATCAAGTGTTGGTTTGCTAGGCTGGATTTCCAGATAGAAGCATAAGCATCTGTGTTCCCAGAAGTCACCAGTGTGGAAGTCAGGAACTAGGACATTAGTGTGTCAAGTCCTGCTTATCTCAGATAATTTGCTTGAACACAAAAATCTTCTACCATCCTCATGCCCCCATTTCTTTGGAAGCTTGAATCCCTGAGGGTTGTAAATCAAAATATTTTGCAAGCACAAATGATACACACTCTCACATTTTCTCATTCAGGCAGCACCTGCACTTTTGTGGGACCTTGTGGGACCTTGTAGGACCTCGTGGAGGGAGCATCCGATGTGGGAAAGGACCACAGCTGGGGGGAAGGGGACCTTTGCGTGACCATCTGCTCTCTTAATACATTCAGGGCATATTTGCCCCTAATCAATGTTACACGGTTTGTATTCTATTCTGAGTCAAGCTCAAAATGTCATTTCCTTTTCAGAATTGGTTGGACCCTGCGAAGGAAATTAAAAAACAGATTCGAAGTAAGTTCTTTTGCATTATTCTCTCTGATAATGGGGATTCTTGGCAAGTTGGGTTGTCTGAATCGGTAGTCCGTATGAACTTCACTAGTGTGAATTTGCGGTGTTTGAAAAACATGTTAAAGTCGCAGCCGTGATTTGGCATGTTGTTTTCAGAGAATACCCATTCTTCATCATCATGACTGGAGATCAAAATCACTGTGACACTTATTCCTCTGCCGGCTCATGGATAAGGGGGGGAGCGGTGGGAAGAGGAAGTGATTTAATCAAGTGATGCTCCAATTGGCAGTAAACTACATGAAGATTCCAAACTTAATTATTAATGTCAAATTAAGTCTAAGTGCCACAAATACATACAAGTCATTTGGTAATTTAGAAATAGAATAACAAGTCTGACTAAGGTCTGTTGTCCAGTGAGTCCCTTAAGGGGGAGTTTAAAAAGGTCTGTTTACATAGTGGACTTTGTGCATAACGAATTAAGCTGCCACTTGGCATACCCACCCCTCCTGTTACAGCATTTTGGGATTCAGTCCCAACCCACTTCCAACTCAGCTGATTGCCGTGTGCAATGAGGGAGGCAGCAGCTTGGGGTTTTCTAACATGCAGGGTCATGCCAGCCACATGGGAGAACTGGATGGAGTCCTTGGGTTCCTGCCTCAGCCTGGTGCAGCCCTTGCTGTTGATGCGTGTCGAATGAGCCAGTGGATGAAAGCACTGTCTGTCTTTAACTCATTCTGCCTTTCAAATAAAACATTAAAGAAAAAGCATATATTCTGCAATGCATGGAAAAAAATTACATGACTCATAAGAGTATGAAAAGCAACTGCTAAATCTTACTAAAGTTTAAATGGAATGAAAGTTAAACAACCTTTTTCAGCAAGTCCAGATGAGCAGAGACTTAAACAATTGAGCAACAAGCTGCGCTGGTGATCATGCACCCTTGGCTGAGGGAGAAATTTGAGCAATGCTTTAGGAAGGCAAGCTGGTCAGTGTTGATTCAAATTAAAAAGCCCTTGTTGACCCTCAGATTCCCTTGGAGAAATGTATTCACCATATCTTTTGGGGAAAAAGGTGTGTAAACACATCAAAGTTCGTTATTAAGTTTTTTGCAATAACAGAAAGCTACAAACAAATATCCATTTATAAAGATATTGTTAAGTCAGCCATAGAGTGGTCAAATAATCCTAGCCCTTATTACCAAACGTCAGTCTTCAGAATAATGCCTACCACATTTATTGTTAAAAGCTTACGTGTATGAAAGGTCTTCCAAAAGTTCATGGGTAGTATGCAAATGAAAAGAAATATGTGTGGATTTCATTTTTTGCACCAAAATAAATGTATCTTTTGATTCCATTTCCCCCCACAATTTTGAAGCACCCTGGTGTGTGCATGGGGAACTTTGGAAGGCATGCAGGATAATAGCAGTGTTGGCATGCAATATACAGGAAGGTGAGAAGGAGGAGTTTAGTTTTATTTTTAACTTTTATTTTTACCTCAAGCATGGATCATCTTTATGATTTTAAATAATTATTTTAAGCAGTTCTTAGTTATCCATAAAGCCTAGATTAATTTTTCTGAACAGCTAACTCTAGTGGAAGAATAGACTCAGGACCAGTTCACACAAAACCTCATTCCCTTTGAGTTTTTATCACTTAAGTCCTAAGGTAATCCAATTGCCTAAATGCTAATAAAGGTACTTCGCAGTAAGCAGTTTGAAATAACTTCATAGCAAATACTATTGCCAAAGGGGTGGAAATCACTCTACTCCTAGATATTAAAGACTTTACTGATGATTTGTATAATTAAAACCTCATTTTACTATACATGTAGAGAAATTTGGTGATGGTACTTGGTAATGAAGCTAACAGAAAATGAGAATGAATTAGTTGGGGAGAAATAATTCAGTTGGGATTTTTAAAACAGGGATAGCTATGGCTATGATAAATAAAAGTAATGAGAACTATTTTTTCTTATTCTGAAATTTAGGATAGTGAATAAACATGAAAGGTTTTTCTGGAAGGTGGTGACTGTTTTTCTGTGTGCATATGTTCCCGGGCTCGTGTGATGAGCAAAATGCTGTGCTAGTTAATAACCACAGAGCCTTGCGTAGTGTGTTGTAAAGTGTCCAGTGCTCAGTGGTTGATGTTGGGAGAAAAGCTGTACCCACTAGCATTCCCTTCTGTTCATGGAATTTTTTTTTCCATTAGCTTCCCATTTCTGTTGTCCCCAGTCCTCCTTTCTACAAGAAGAAAACCAAAGGGATAATCAGAACATGAGATTGAAGGGGTATTTTCATGATGCAGTCTCTATGACAACCGCTTGAAGAAAGCTGACAGCCTTACATAGAAGGGAGGAGACAAGAATAAATGGATATGTTTCTAAATTTAGATTTTTTTTTTACTGATATTGAACATTTTGTTGAGTACCTTTTGGCCATTTATGTGTCTTTGTTGGAGAAATCTGTGTCTAGCTCTACCGTCCCAATTTTAATTGAACTCCTTGTTTTTCTACCATAAAGTTTATTGTATATTCTGGATATTAGCCACTTGTCAGACATGTAACTGCGTTGTCTCTTTACACTGATGATTGTTTTCTGTGCTGTGTAGAAGTCTTTAGTTTCATGAAATCCCATTTATGAACTTTTTAATTTGTTTCCTGTGGTTTTAAGGTTTGATCCAGAAAAATCCTTGTCCATTTTAGTGGTCTTTCTTATAATACTTTCAAAGTTTCAGGTCTTATATTTATGTCTTGGATCCACTTGGAGTTGATATTTTTATGTAGCGAAAAAGAAGCCTCGTTTAATTTTCTTACATATGGATATCTGATTTTCCTGGCACGATTTATGGAAAACTCTATCCTTTTTTTTCATTTCATATTTACATCTTGGGCAAAGATTAGTTGGCCAGGGATGCAAGGGTTAGTTATGGTCTCATTGCTATCTTTTTTTTATGCCATTACCATGCTGTTTTTTTAACTGTAACATTGGAACATATTTTAAAGTCAGATATTATGTTTCCTGCTTTGTTCTTTTTATTTCACTTTGGTTTGGCTAGTCAGGTTCTTCTGTGGCCCCGTACAAGAGATTTTAGTGCTAATTTTTCTACTTTCTGAGAAAAAAAAATTGATTGGAATTTTGGCAAGCGTTGCATTGAATCTGTGAATCACTTTGGATAGTTTGCATGTTTTGACAGTGTTGATACTTCTTCTCATCCGTAAGCATGAGACGTCTTTCCAGTTGTGGATGTGTGTCCTCTTCCATGCGTCAATGCTTGGTACTTTTCATCATAGGGATTTTTCCTTCTTTTGATTAGATGGTTGTGCCTAGGTATTTTTGGCAGCTGTTAGAAGTGCGATCGCTTTTTCAGGCGACTTCATGTTACAACACTACTGAGTTTCGATGTTGACTTTGTATCCTGCAGCTTTGCTGAAGAGAATGTGTGTCACCTGTTGTTTCGCATCCATTAAAGTACTCTGTTGTCAAAACGTGTGTTGTGGGCTCGGCTTGGTAGCCTGGTGCTAAATTCCTCACCGTGCATGTGCTGAGAAACCCATATGGGTGTCGGTTCCTGTCCCACCTGCTCCACTTTTCTTCCTGCACCCTGCTTGTGGCCTGGGAAAGCAGTTGAGTATGGCCCAGACCCTTGGGACCCTGCAGCTGTGTGGAGACCTGGAAGAAACTCTTAGCTCCTGGCATCGGATGGGCTCAGCTCCAGCCACCGAGGCCTCTTGGGGAGTGAATGGAAGATCATTCTCTCTGTGTCTCCTTCTCTATGTAAACCTGACTTTCCAATAAAACACACTGATAAATAATGTGCATTCTGCTAAGGTAGAGAAATGTTATCCTATCGGGTGTAATTATTGCAGCATCACTTCCTCTTCTTGAATCTCAAGGATAAAAGGATTCTTCTCTCTTTATCATGCTCTTAGTACACAGAGTTTCTAGAATGAGGTCTTTACCAGAAGCAGCATCAGAGCAATGGCAGTTTTAAGTTATAAATATCAGAGTACATTCTGAAACTTAAAAGCTTGTTCTTTTATGCATTCCAGATCTTGAATCTTTTAATATCTTGTGATTATAAATGTAGTATATGTATTATATAGAACATATACATACCCATATAGTAATTTAATCACATGAATGCTGCATTCTTTAAAATTTTTAAGATTGGGCTTGCACAGAAGGCTCAAATTAGAAGTGTTTGTTTTTGTTTTGGTAAGAATGGATTCCCCTCAGCATCACAGCTTTTTTTATGTATCATACATTTGTAATTTAAAATCCTACATCAGCACATAGCAACACTCATTTCAGTGTGTTCAAGGTGTTTCGTTTTCTCTTTTCACCAGGGCCTTCATCTGATCAGACACAGGGTTGCAAGCTCATTCACTGTTGATTTGTTTCTCCAGGCTCTTTATGGGCTGCTGTACCTGGGGTCTAACTCACACCTTTCTTCAATTTCAGGTTGTGTACTTCAGTTAGCTAGATTACAGTTTCTATAAACTTACCCATCATTTTCAAAATAATGTCCTGAGAGACCTGTAATTATTGGTAGGGATAATTTTCAAAGTTTTGTTCTGAAACCCATTTGTTTTAGAATAATTATAAAATTTTTCAAGATTCAGGTTTTCCGCCTGTACAAAAATAAATAAGCCAACAGACAGATAGGTTCCTGTGCTATGTTCTGAATCTCTGGAATGAATATCTCTGGAATTGGCATTTTAACAAGCATCTCAGGGACTTGCTGGGCCCATTGTGTTTTGTAACTGGTTTTTCCTGGAATAAGAGTTTTTGCATCAAAATGTCTTTTCTGTCCTTTTGCTGTATATTGGTTTCCCGATTTATAATTTTTTCCTTGACCTTGTTATAAGATTATTTAATTATATTACAAAATAACTCACTGGTTTCAAGGTATACTTTGAAATGAATAAAAATGATAAAAGAACAATAAATCCATTTCCCTTTAACTACTCTATTATATTTAATTCCACTTCCTCAGAAGAAAGCAAGCTGTCATTTTGAACCTTATTATTGGCTACAAAGGGATCTATTTTTTTAAAGATTTTTTTTTTATTGGAAAGTCAGATTTACAGAGAGAAGGAAAGACAGAGAAAAGATCTCCCACCTGCTGACTCACTCCGTAAGTGGCCACAATGGCCAGAGCTGAGCCCATCTGAAGTCCGAAGCCAGGAGTCTACTTGGAGTCTCCTGCTTGGGTGTAGGTCCAATGCTTTGGGCTGTCCTCGACTGCTTTTCCAGGCCACAAACAGGGAGCTGGATGGAAAGTGGAGCAGCCAGGACATAAACTGGTGCCCATATGGGATCCCAGCCACATGCACGGTGAGTACTTCAGCCATTAGACTGCTGTACCAGGCCCAGTCAAAGTTGAGTAGGAATTGATAGGAGAGTGATACCAAGTAAGACTGCAGTTTAGAATAAGGAATGTTTTTGAAAATAGTAAGGGAAACAATCACTAAGAAATATATTTGGCTGGCAAATATTATAGGTTTTGAATTCCTCTAGCCTATATTTCAATAATATATTGAGTGGTATTAAAAGGATAGTGAACAGCTAATAATTGCTGATCTTTGTCATGTGGAATCTTAAGTGCCAACAGTAGTGTCAGAATAAACTATTTGGACCAGTGTGATGCAGTGGGTTGAGCCACTGATTAGGAGGCTGGCATCCCATGTAAGAGTACCGGTTTGGCTCCTGGATGCTCTGCTTTTGATCTAGCTTCCTATTACTACACTGCAGAGGCAGCAAATGCATATGGACAGATGAAAGATGGCCAGCTCTGGCTGTTGAACCTTTGGGGAGTGAACCAGCAGCTAGGAAAACTAGTTTCTTTCTCTCTCTCTCATGGCCTTTCGAATAAATATTATCTAAAAGAAAGTTCATGGAAAAAAAAAAGATTTGAATGTTAACGTGCATATCCCATGAACTTAAAAAAAATGAACAATGAGAAATCTATTCCATTTATGACAGAAGTGTAGGGAACTAGTGAAGCGAAGTCTAGCTACTCGGTGTGAAAAAAATACAACTGCTCAAAGAAAAAGCCAAGAAATGTTGGCAGGACTGGACCCTGCTTCTGAGAGTCTGAGCAGGAAGAAATCCTGGAGAAACGGAGTTTCTAGTGGTCCTTTAATTGGAGGCAAGTGGCACTTGGCAGAGCTAGGGGAAAGTGTTCAAAGCACCAGGTTACAAAATCATGGAGTGAGAGTGAGCCTGTGGCTGTCGAGTGAGGAAGTACAGGGGACAGGCTTCCAGTTTGGGTACCAGGGAGACTGGGAGGGACTTTCTGGAGTCTAGGCAGAATACAGACAGGACTTCAGCTGTGGAACCAGTAGTGTGCTGCTTCGGTGGAGAGAATAAGCATATGCAGCAAAACAGAGAGGAACGTCCCAGCTTGGGGTAACTCAGTGCGTCCAGAAGGCAAAAGAAGGGAACAAGGTAAAGTGAAGGAATGATCGGAACACACTGAGTGAGTGATATTGGCAAGGACAAAATGATCTGATTTCCATGTCTGTACTGATAAATCATTCACCATTAGCCGACTAAAGAAAGGCAGACCTTACTAAGGCTTAGGCAGTGTTTCAGGGATGTGTGCGGATGGTGCAGAATGCAGAGACCTGTAGGCTCGCCTCTCTAGGCTCTGCAGAACTAGAGCGTCGTGATGTGAATGCCACAGGATGATGGCTAAATCCTGGGCAGAGGGGAGTTGTGTGAAGTTTCCAGGAGAAACAGATGAAAATGTAAGTGTATTTTGGTGGAAAAAAAAAAACATAGCTTTTCATAATATATGTTGTCATGAATTTTTAAAGGCCCCTTGTGTACTTAGGTATCTATTTCATTAGAAATTTCTCCAAACAAGGAAGAACTTTTCAGCCTCCCATACTCCCTACAGCAAACCTTTCGCTGGGGCAGCACTGTGCTGCCGCAAGTTAAGCCACTGCTGGGACGCCTACCTCCCGCACTGCGGTGCCTGGAGGAGGGAATCCAGCTACTCCGGTCCAGCTTCCAATCCAGCTTCCTGCTGGTGTTCTTCCGAGGCAACAGATGATGGCCCAAGAATTTATGTTCCTGCCATATGAGATGCCTGGATGCATTTCCTGGCTCCTGGTTTCAACCTGACATAGCTCCTGTTTTTCAACCTGACATAGTCCAAATGTTTCAGACATTTGGAGAGTGCAGTCACTGGTGAAAGATTCTCTCTCTATCTCTCTCTCTCTCTCTCTCTCTCTCTCTCTTTTTCTGTCATTCTGCCTCTCAAATCTTTTGCAAAAAAAATAGAAATAGCAGCCTGTTTTGTCATGCAGTAAATAAAGCAACACAGGCCAGCTTAGTCCTGACAGTTCCACTTCTGATCCTGCTCCCAAGTCATGTGCCTGGGAAGGCAGCAGAGCACAGACGATGTACTTGGGCCCCTGAATCCATGTGAGCCATCCTAATGAAGGTCCTGGATTTACACCAACCCAGCTCCAGCTGTTACAGCCATTTGGGGAATGAGCTAGTGGTCAGAGGTTGTCTCTCTCTCTCTCCCTCTCTGTAATTCTGCCTTTCCAAAAAGTAATCTTTAAAAAAACTCACAAATACAAATTTTGAGTAGTTCCTTGTCTTTATGATAGGACTAACTCCTAGTAACACAACAGGACAAAGAAAATGGGAATTTTGTGTCTGGTATTAGTGTGAGCTATTCAGAACTTCAAGGCAATGTAAATGCAGTCCACGCTAGACTTATCTGATGGAAGATTATCCGTATCATTCACTGTTGTTCTTTGCTCTGAAGGATTACCTTTGATCCTTAGAAAGGGAGGAAGTTGGGTCAATTTCTGTGACAGTTAGAAGTGCCATTGAAGGATTCGATTGAAGATTAGAACAAAAATAAATTTCTAACTTATCTTTGAGTTTTGTGGAACAGACACCTCCCTGTTTTCCAGTAGTGATCAAAGTGTCCAGGGTATTCGTAATTCGGCATTACGGTTGTTTTGGCTATCAATTCAAATCAAAAGTATAAGGAGATTTCCTAAACTTCTACTCGGATCTTTAATTTTTATTTATGTATTTGTTTGTTTCCCATCCCTGCAGGTGGTGCTTGGCACTTTTCATTTAATGTGAAATTTTACCCACCAGACCCTGCCCAGCTGTCTGAAGACATCACCAGGTACTTGAAAGCTGGCTGTCATTTTCTTGGGAGGCAAAACTGGGGAGGTGGGCCTCTCTTAAATGCTCTGGAGAGGAAAGGAGTCTACCTGTCCCGGGCTCACAGTCAATCCCACTCGAGTGACAAGTGGAAGACAACTTCGTGAGAGCTAAAATCCGAGGAGACGAGCTGCCGATCCCATTTCTTAGAGCCGACTTGGTGATGTTAGCCTATTACTTCCTCTGCCCGGCCCTGGTGCCAACACCTGCACCATGGAGATGCTGCCATCCTCCCACCAAGTCAGACTGGGTAGAGTTCAGCCCGAAGGAATGGAGCAGTTCTAGCAGCCCTGCTTTACAGCAGACTAAAAATGTCTTTTTGGAGGCTTCTGTAGTTTATGTAACTATTTTGATACTTGATAGCTATTTTTAAAATTCACACGCGCAGACACATAAACACGTGTGAATGTAGGAATTTACTTTCTGTGCCCTGTGTATATAAGCAACATGATTACTTTGGGGGAGGTAGGGAACACTAGAAAATGCATCCAGCATCAGTCTATTCCAGCTTGTGAGTGGGCCTAGAATCTCGAAAAGATCCCTTTGGAAAGCTACACGAAGTGTCTAAGCTGTACTGGCTGCTCTACCACAACATCAGAGACGTGGTGGGCTGCAACGCCCAATGCTTGGAGCTGGTTGTTGGTGAGGTGAGGATGCCAGCAGATCACACTGTGGGCGGGGGGGTGGTTCTGGCTCAGATGCCAGCTTTCTGGTATATGCCCACGTGGGGGCCAGAGATGGGGCTTTCTCTCAGGCCTCCTTTATAAGGACTCTTCCATTCTCAAACCTGCCATCCTCATGACAAATTCCCCTCCCAAATTTACTCCCCAACACACACTCCATGTCAACCTCCAGAGCAGAACTTCAAGAAATGAATTTGGTACAAGGGAAGACACAGAATTCCATCCATTGGTCTAGTTTGGAGATGTGGCTATGACCAGTTAGAGCAATTTGGCTTGCTGTGGGCAGGATTTTCCGCATAAACCTCACATCCTGCTTTGGAAGACTTTTGCTCAAAAGGGAATTGACTTGGAACAGCTTCAGTCGCTTGGTAGGCTTAAATTCATCTCACCAGACATATGTATTAGAAGAAGGATATCAATTAGTTCCACAGGCTTTCCTTTATATTTGTACTACATCTGAGAAAATTCATAATTTCTTATGTAAAGATTCTTCTTAGTCAATATTGAAGAATGATTTAATTATGGCTAATTGATAACTAGAGAGCTTATTATTCCAGGATTTCAAAATTTAGTGCATGATTCCTTTCTGTCAACTTGGGTAATGTTTGTCGAGCCTGTTAAATGTTTAAGAATTTTTGTGTCTGGATTACATGAATTTTCCTTGAAATGCCAGCCTAAAATCATACACAGAGCAGGTCTTAAGCCTTGATTGCAGTCCCCTGCGTACCACATTGGCGGTTAGTCTCTACGAAAGATACAAGGGTTTGTTATTATGTGTGTATGCCATGCCGTGATAGGTAGCATTGAAACTCACCAGCGTTAATGCTTTCCTTGGGATCTTTGAGAGTAAGCATACCATGTGTGAATCTTCAAAGCAAAGTAACACGACAAATTAGCCATTAGAGATCTTCTTATGTTGTGACAACATTATATGAAAAGGCAGCACGTTCCACCAGTTTAGACCTACTTCCAGTGACCAGTTCTCAGATTTTAAGTCATAATTCTCCAGAATTAGTCTTCATGTTTGTTAACATGAAAGAAGTTATTCAATTTTAAAAATGAGAAATGCAAACAAGTGAAATTACTAGCAATTTTAGTGAAGAACTGTCCGATTAGGAACACACCAAGTGGTGGACAGAGTTTATTGGACACATCGCTGTGGAGTCGCCTAAAATCCATCCAGGTCTTGTGGCAAGGCCTACCATCCAGATGTTGAAACAAGACTTCCGTAAGATAATTGGGACTTAATAATTACATTTAGGAGCTTCAGTTTTGTGTCACCGTTCCCCTAGCAAAGGATTTTGGGAGTTCCCTTGGGGGTTATTTGCTTTTCAAAGTTATTTTGAAAGATGTTGGTAGAATATGTCTCTAGATTGATTTTACTCTGTGCTTTATTGATAAACTATCCTACTACGAGTATTGACTGGCATTTTGAGGACCTTAAATATTACACATACAGCAAAGTATTTTTCCCTAATAACTGTTTCAAATACAGATCCTGTAGCTATCAAAGTGCTGGAAAATTTTTCCTACAGAAGTTATTCATCAGGGAGAAATAGTTCACCTCCAGTGTAGACCAAATGATCTCCTTTTCAAACACGCTGATGTTGGCTCCTGGTTCTGTCCTCTGCGTCCCCGGAAGGTACTACCTCTGCTTACAGCTGCGTGATGACATCGTGTCTGGAAGGCTGCCCTGCTCTTTTGTGACCCTTGCCCTGCTGGGCTCCTACACTGTCCAGTCAGAACTCGGAGACTATGACCCAGACGAATGCGGGAACGATTACATTAGCGAGTTCCGCTTTGCACCGAACCACACGAAAGAACTGGAAGATAAAGTAATCGAACTGCACAAGAGCCACAGGTTAGTGGCAGGAATCAGGAATCCCAGGAGCACTCCTTTGTGATGCCTTAGGAGCGTCACCTGGGCCACCCATCCCCATAGTACTGATTCCTGTGAAGGTCTGTACCTGGAAAAATCCCAAGGCTATTTGTCTCATAGTCTTCTTTCCCTGCAAGTTGAATATCCCTATCTAAAATAACTTGGGGCCACAAGTGTTTCTGATTTGGAAATTTTTGCATGTCTTGGCAATGGAACACAACTCTAAGCCCAACATTCATTTCTGTCTCATGTATCCCCAGGGCGCATAGCTTGAAAGTAACTTTATGTAATATTAATTTAAGAGCCCCTTCAAAAGTCTGAAGAAAGTGGAACTAAAACCTGAGTTCATTTGGGTCCTGAAAAGTTTTAACATCCATACACAATTGTTTTTATTTGTTTTCATCTGTGCCTTTCCTTGAACTGTCTTGTGGGCCATGTGCACATGGCCCAGAGGTAATTGTGTATGTTTTATAGCACAACAGTGTTTTGTCTCTGGCCGGTCACATACATCAGTCATGGAATTTTCCACTTGAAGTGTATCTGGGCACTCAAAAAGTTTTGTATGTGGGTTGTGCAGTTTTGGATTAAGGGTGTTTGGCCAGGTATAGAACATGAGTCTGCTGTTAACCTGGTGGGACTTTCTTAGCAAATGGCAGGGAGATAAGTGGGAAATTTAAAGCCTTGCCAGGCAGCAAAAAGCAACTGATTACTTTTAATTTTAAAAAAACAAACAAAACAAAACAAAAACACTTTATTCATTGGATGTGACAAGGCAGAGAGAGTTCGTTCCCACCTGCTGACTTACTCAGCACAGGTGCCTGGGATGGAAAGATGGTCTCTTTGAGGGTGATGGAAGCCAGCTGCTTGAGCCACTGTGGCCACCTTTTCTGGCCTGGATTAGCAGGAAGCCAGAACTGTGTGTTGGTCCCAGCTGTGCCAGTGTAGGGTGCTGTATCCTAACTGGACTTTAACCCCTTGGACAAATTGCTGCCCATGTTTTTTTGTGATCCTGAACAGCAACTGATGAGAAGGTAAAGCAACATTATAACAGAACTTTTTCTCCTTGTCAGAGGAATGACACCGGCTGAGGCAGAGATGCATTTTTTGGAAAATGCCAAGAAACTCTCCATGTATGGGGTGGATTTACATCATGCCAAGGTATGCCTCTTTGAGCCCCAAGTTTTCTGTGTGATTTGGATAATTCAGTGTTGAGGTCGCCATAAGCAAGTCCTTGTTGCTTGTGTTCATGTAAATGGACAGTTGGAGAGTTCCAGTCAGTATACATCCCTTAAGCCTTACTCCGTAAAGGCAAGTCCAGCTTTCTCACCTGTACTGAGGGGTTTACTCATTGTGGCTCAAATTTGCACTGTGCTCTAGTCAAGCCTACACACAGGCAGTGGAAGGCAAGGCTCTGTGTCATTGCCTGCTAGTTCTCTTAGAAACTTCTCTTGACTTAACAAGCTCTCCGCACCGCCTGCCTCCCTGCCTCCCGCCAGGGCGATATCTCCTGCTCTCTGGGGACCAGCAACCTTGGCTCCCGCCAGGACCTGTCTGTGCCTTTACCCCGAATACACCCACGTCAGGACTGTCCTGTTCTTTCCTGTCTGGCTGGCCAAGATCCAAGTGTCACATCTGTTACCTCTTTGGTACTAGGTATGCCCCCATTCTGGGCAGCCCCTGGGCACTCGGTGAGTTCATGTCCTATTGAAAGAACCCTATCGCTAAGGTTTAAGTACTCTGACAAATAAGCAGTACTTTAAGATTAAAAGCGTTATCTTCATGTTTGACTAAAATTAGCCTCGGTGCCTGGTGATTGAGGAGTGTGTCTTGGGGTTGGAATCTCAGGAAAACAAACAGGGGTTGGAATTAGATGGTAGGATGGCACATTTGTATGGATGCAGGGGGGGGCGGCTTTACAGCATGCCATGCTTTTTCTAGAATTTTCTCCTTTTATCTAAGAGAGAATGGGTGTGCAGCCTACAAGTCTACTATTTAAGCAGCCATGGATAAAAGGAATTTTTTTTTTTTTTTGAAAATACAGGACAGCTTTGATGAAGACTTTGAGCCACAGAAGCATATGAAATTTGAGATGTTCCTAGGGTGGACTCAGGGATTTGGGCAGCATTAAAAACCAGGTCAATATTTGCAGTTCAGGAAGGTTGCTTGTGATTGGGGCTGACAAGATAACATCACTCCCGTAGAGATGTGAATTTAACCTCTGATGGACAGAGTGAGTCACCAATTTCACGGTCTGGGACTCACGAGCACGTGGGGTGACAGGCTGCCAGTCGAGTAAGCCTCTTGGGGAGTCCGGTTAGGACCTGAAAATGAAGAGCGTTCAGCTGGCCCGATTCGAGCAAATCGCTCCACTCCTGCCCCTGAGGACCCACGGGGCAGACGTCGAGCCTCTGCAGCTTGTGCTGGTCATGGGCGTCAGGGCGGGCTGCCAGTGGAGGGACAGACTTTATCCACAGTGTGTTTAGACAGGAATATACTGGCTATGAGCACAGTAAAAGTAAAACTGGTGGTGTGTGTGGTTGCTTTGGGTATCTCACTGGGCAGCAGCCTAATACCCCAGTGTCAGCAGCACCTCTGAGAACTGGCTGAGTTTTTCTTAGGGTGGCACTGCTCCACGGTGCCCAGCTCTCTGATGTTTGTATGCAATTGTAGCAGTAGATGCAGCCCTGGTTTCCACTTACCTTGCACCGAGATAGCAAAGTTTTTATTATTATTATTTTATGACAGTTATGAGTTAGGATTGGGTCTGCAAATTACAAATCAGGAAATGCGCTAAGGTTTTGATTTCTCCAAAAGTTTTCCCTAGGTGGAGAAGAGATAAGAGTTCAAGAAGGAAATGAGGGTAGCCTGACAATTTGAGTGAATCTAAAGCTATTTTTAAATTACATCAGACACTGTGATTCACTTACTGCCCAGGAAAAAAAAAAGTAGATAAAAGATTATGGCGTACATTTAGGGAAGCATAGCTCGGGATGTAGGAATGTTCTTATTGGTACAAATAAGGTCACTTAGTATTGCTATGGCTACTGAATTTAAATGGATGGCTACTTTTTCACTCAATAATGTGATTTGAAATTAGGCCAATTAAAGAGCAAGAGAATTAAGGAAGTGCAAATGCAGCCTGTTACAGGATTTTATCTGAGTATTAAGTATAGCAGATGATTCAGTTACAGGCTCCATGTTTTCCTGCAGCCACACTCCATCATGTCAAGAAGGAAATCGACTGAATTAGATTAGAGCTAATTTCCGGTTATGAGTGAGATGCTTCTCTCTTGATAGTAGGAAATGCCCTGTGCGTTACGATCCATTTTACAATTCTGAATTGTGAACTTGGATTCCATAGCTGGGTCCCAAGAGTGAATGTCTCCATGGAAATGAAGGCCCTAGCTTAGGGAAAATCTAAATATGCTGGGAAAAGCTATCCACGAATCTCTGTATTTTCTTTGGAAATCTTTCTCTGTTGTTCACTTAGTGGCAATCTTCATAGGCTTTGTGATAGTCACTTATTTCATGCTAAGATTCTGGAAAGCGGATGTAGTCACATGTTATACATCCCATGGACCAAGCGATACCAAAGAGGGTAGCATTTGGTGTTTTAGTCATTTTGTATTTAAAGATGTTTCTCTGGTAGTGAGTTCTTGATCACTGCTGTTGTTGGTTTATTTGGACAACAGAGATCTCCTATCTACTGTGTTACTTCCCAAATGCCACATTGGCTGGGCCGGGCTGACCTGAAGAAAGGAGCTGGCAAATCACTCCAGGTGTCTCGCTTCACTGGCTGGACCCAAGTTCTTGCACCATCAGTTCTGGCCTTACAGGGTGGGCAGGAGCAGGACCAAGATGCAAACCAGGCACTTGCCTGTGACGGTTGCCTGGGGCCTCTTTACCTCTGTGCCACATGCCTGCCTAAGGTGGCAGCATGGGAACAGTGATTCCAAGTAGAGGGAGGCAATGATAGACTCCAGGGCTGCCCTCTGGGCTCCCTGCTAAAGGGGGGAGAAATTTACTCAGTGAGGTGCACATGTCCCCAAGACAGATGGTTGCTACAGCCATTGTTACACAACACTATATCAGGCTCAGTGGGCTTGTGGAAATTACGGTGAGAAAAGTTAGAAAAAGTTTCATTCTTAATTGCTGTGCAATTTATGAAATAAATTTTTCTCCGCTTGTTCCTGCCATTTTCATTTTATTCATCAATTCATTTACTTAATTGAAAGTCAGAGTTACCCAGAGAGAAGAGACAGAGATCTTCCATCCACTGGTTCATTTTCTCCCCAGGTAGCCACAATGAGGGTGCTGAACCAGGCTGAAGCCAGGAGCCGGGAGCCAGGAGTGTCATCCAAGTCTCCAACAAAGCTGGCTGGGGCCCAAGCACTTGGGCCATCCTCTGCTTTTTCTAGGCTATTCACAGGGAGCTGTATCTGAAGTGGAGCAGCCAGAACACAAACCAACAACCATATGGAGGCTTAATCCGACATGCCGCACACTGATTGGCCCATGTTTTTTATTCTTAAAAAACAAAACCAAAATATGTAATGACTAATCCATGTTGGGTATGCCTATTTGGGCCATGAACTTAACAAAGAAAAAACAACTTTGCTGCCATTTGTTCAGGGCTGTGTCAGTAGCAACAGGTTGATTTGGGAACACAAAGAAGCCTACGTTGGATGGGACAAGAAGAGGAAGTGCCAGCACCTTCCTTATCTTTGAAGGGACACAGTTTTCTTCTAGTTCAAAGAGCCTAATATGACTCCAGCATTCCATATGGGCACTGGTTCATGACCCAGCTGTTCCACTTCTGATCCAGCTTCCTGCTAATGTGCCTGGAAAAAGCAAGAAAAAAATGGCCCATGTGCTTGGGCCCCTGGCACTCACAGGGGACACCTAGAAGAAGCTGCCGATTCCTTGTTTCGGCCTAGGTTGGATCCATCTGGGAAGTGAACCAGCAGATAGAAGATACCTCTGCCTTTCTTTCTTTGACTGTAAATCTGTCAAGGAAATAAATCTTTAGAGATTAATAGTTGGTTTTCAGATAGATAATAATGAAAAATATTTAAAAGACATACTCCCTCTGTAGGTCAAAGTCATATTCCCTAAACTTGTGTTTTATATCAAGAAAAAGAAAGTGGTTCCAAGAGCAGTTCTTTGAGCAGTTCTTCCGGTTTCTATGTTCTGTACATAGCAGGAGCCCATCACTCGCACTGATGAGCAGATGGGCTCATTCCAAAGGATCAATAATAGCCACCTCATCAGCATCCGGTATTGCTTTTTCCAATTAAAGTCCTTGATAAATGGTGGGCAGTTTCTCCTCAAATTTTATTATGTTGTAATATCCTGCCATCAAGTATTTCCACTCCTGTACAGTAATTTGATATCTAATGGAGTAATGTGTTTCCAAGGTAAGATATTTCCTGTTATACTGATTATATTCTGTTTGAAAACTCAGTTTCTCAAGAGATAGACCAACATATTTATTTAGAACTTTGAAAGTATATATCTTGGAAGCAGAGGGAGGGAGACAGAGAAGAAACAAGTGCTCCTGTGTGCTGCTTTACTCCCCAAGTGCCCTCAGTGGCCAGAGCTGGGCCACTCTGAAACTGGGAGCTTAATCCTGGTCTCCCACTAGGGTGACAGGAGTGAACACAGCTGCTGGAGTCATCCCCACTGCCTTCAAGGATCCGTGTTAGAAGGAAGCTGGAATCGAGAAGCAAAGCCAGGACTGCAACCCAGGCACTCGGCATGGGATGCAGGTGTCCTAACAGGTGCCTTAACTACTGGGACAAATTCTCACCCCAGTCTATTTGTGTTTGATTCTAAACTGTCCAGCGTGGGCCTTGCATTGAGCCCACTGAGGAAATAACTCATCAAAAAGTGCATGAATCAGCTTATCTTTAATGGATTTTTTTGATTCCCCCCATCATCTTTGCTGATGTCTCACACTGACTTAAAACCAGGGATGGACCAAGGAATGTGACAGAAAATCTGAGCACGACTCCCTGGGTGTGACCTACCCATGACGCTCTCTCTACCCTACTTCCAGCCATGTGTGGGACAGTGGTTGGACCTCACCTTGCCTCTGCCCTTTGAGCCCATCCAAGGGCACCAGCCATGTTCATTCACCCTGATGTTGATGCGTGACAACATCAGCTGTGTTAGCATATGGCTTAAGGTGGATGAAAGATTTCCAATCAACTCTGGGTGTCATACATCTCTAAGGATCTATCTAAATATGAGCTGTCATCAAGGCAAATTGCAGTTTTAATATGGCCCCGCATTTTAAAAACACACATACACACACACACATATATATATAAAATTGATCTGTATTCATATTTATTTATGTCAGCAATATTGTTTGATGTGATTATCAATGGGCAGTGTGTGTCTGAGGGAGGAGTGTTGGAAATGGACATGCAATTTTTAAGAAGAAAAGCTTGTATTTTGGTGTAGCAAGTGAAGCCACCACATTGAGATGCCTGCATCCCATATCAGCCTGCTGGTTCAGGGGATGCCTTTGCCAGGTCAGATTCAGCTGCCTATTATGGTGTCCTAGGAGGCAGCAGGTGATGTCTGAAATACATCGGAACCCACATGGGAAGCCAGGTGAATTCTGGGCTGTTGGTTTCAACCTGGCCCTGGCCTGGGTCTTGTAGGCATTTGAGGAACAATACAACAGATGGAAAACTCTGTCTCTGGGATCTGCTCACAGATTTTGCTCTGTGTGTGTGTGTGTGTGTGTGTGTGTGTGTGTGTGTGTGTGTCTCCCTCCCTTCTTTTTTCCCCTCCCACTTTCCCTCCATTTCTGTGTGTCTGCTTTTCAAGTGAAAGAAAAAAAAATAACCATTTTTTTAAAAACATCTTATATTCAAACTGTGTTATGCGTATGATGGTGTGTAAAGTTTGGGCTTATTTTTAAAGATGCAGGCTCCAAAATGCAAGAAGGGACTTGTGAGTACTCACATCAGTTGAGGGTGCTGCCTCTGGGATGCATGGACCCTTCACCTCCCCATCCTTCATGTTCTATCACCTGTAAAATGGGAATAATGTTAGCAACCATCTCTATCCTAGTCATGTGTGGGCTGAAGTTAACATGGACAGTTGGAGCAGTGGCTGGCACTTAACAAATGAGGGTGTGGCTCTTCTGATTACGATTGCTTACATACCTTCGTCTCCTTGGTCTCCCGTGTGCGTGTTTGTGTCCCGAGATTACCAGGGTGAGCAGAGCTTATCATCATAAATCTCCAAGTGATAAATGTTCCTGTGAGAGAGCCGCTATTCCATGGCATTGTTTCAGAAACAGCTGCAGCATTTTTTTCTTATTCAAATTATCCCATTATAGTTTCTGTCATAGAGGCTTAAATATTGTACCCAGTGGAAAGTGGGTCTGCATGAGATACTGATTCACTGTTTCTTGCCACTGTTCTTCAGGATTCAGAAGGAGTAGAAATTATGTTAGGAGTTTGTGCAAGTGGTCTATTGATATATCGTGACCGGCTGCGAATAAATCGGTTTGCCTGGCCCAAGGTTCTCAAAATTTCATACAAACGGAACAATTTTTACATTAAGATCCGGCCGGGAGAGGTACGTATACCCACTTTTGCATGTGTGTTGGGAAGTAAGGTCCCTGGCAGCAAATGTAAATGTTCTCTCGCACGCTCTCGGCTTTGTGGGACGTGCCGAGGGCTTTCTGAATGCCTGAGAGAGCTGATCATTGGTTTGTCCAATAAACAGTAGCAATAGCTGCCCTCCTCTGCTATGTCCCCACTTTCTCCTACTGCCTAGACTCATTGTAAATGTTTTTAAAAGCAGATTTCATATTAACTCACAATTCATGAATGACACATTGTGTGCCTGAATGACTTTTTTTTTCGCATGCATAAGACTGCAGTGAATGAATGTCTTTGGGTCCTTTTGTTACCTACTCTTCAGGCCCTTTTAATTTCCCTGCACATCTGATTGCACCTGTAAGTGAATAGCATAGAGATGATATGCTTCAAGGTGCAGAGATTAGAACGGGGTCCCCGAGTGTGAATTATGAACATGTCCAACAGCACAATGTATTTCCAACATATTTCTCCTGTTTCTTTGAAATTAGAGATGTTAATGAAATAATACAAATTGGTAACTAACCATTTCTCCTGGAGCACAGCCTTCATGATCAACATATTTTTATCTTCTTTAGTGGCTTGTTCTTATAAAGTAGTGCATAATATGCGCTGATTTGCTTAAAAGATATTTAATAATGACCTCCAGCTTCTAATGGCTGTGGTAAAAATATTGGAGACTATGAATGCTCAAAGGTTTCAGTTCATCCAAAATGTTTTCTGATATCTTCTGTCTTCATAACCTACCTGTCCACTGGAGTTCTTGGTGGAAAGTACAATTTTTAAAATTAGAATCTGTAGCAGTGTAAAATTACACATTTCTATAATAGCTAAAATAATAAACTTTTCATATATTCATACCCCACATCCTAGTGGTAACTTTTTCCTAAAGATTGTGTATGTTAGAGTTTTAACTAACATGCAGGGTTTGAATTCATGGAATATTTTGTACATGAGCATCTATTTGTTGTTAAGCACATGTTGGTTTTGGAAGTACAGAGACGAGACCTTGTTCCTGTTCTTAAGGGATTTAGCAGAAAAGCAGTGCCATGCGTTGATGCTTTCAGTAGTGATGCTACGCTGTGAGAGATGGTAATCTACTGAGGACAAAGTGTGGCAGCATATATCACAGGCCTTCAGGGAGAGGGAGAGAAACCAACCAGACAGCAGCTGAGCCATTACTTTAAATTAGGACACGGCACAACTACCTATTTTGGAATGGATGTATTTTTTAATGAAGTTTAACAACTTGAGAAATAGAGTGTGATTTGATCTAAACCAGGGCAGGGCTGTGGGGATGGCAAGGAGGGCATAAATTCGAGAGCAGATTGTCACCGGCAGAAAGGATAGAGGAGAAATGGAAAGAAGGAAGGTCTACAATTATCAACGAGTTTGATTGAAATTTCTTTGGGATAGATTTTTTTGAGGGGTGATTCTTGTAAAAAAAAAATGCAGTAACCATAAACCATGTACATTTTATTCAAGGCTTTAGACATAAAATAAACTCAAAGAGCAAAAGAAGCCCTAACAACCTTGGACAGCACCGGTATTTGAGAGCAGGGCAGGCAAACAAGAAACATTGGAGATGAAGAAAAATGGCCAGGGAAATGAAAAAAAAGGGATAGCGACTGACAGATGACAGGATGAACTGCAGGAGAAAGCAGTCTGCCAGGAGGGTCCTCTGTGACAAGGAGGGCATGCAGAATGGGAACCTGGCAGTCATGAAGAGTTTAGGGAGTTCTTAGAAGCACCTGCCAGGGTGTGGCGAGGCGAGGAGAGGTGCGACCGAGGACATGCAATGGCTTCCCTCTGGCAAGTTAGCACTAAGACAGGGTTTTGATTCTGGTGGAAGCAAGTCTTAAAGCCTGCTGGTTTCATCCATTTTTAATGATCATGTTTGTAGGGTGAGAAAAAATTATTGATGGCACAATGCTCTGAAGAGATTGGAAGAAGTGGAGGCACACGTCGGAAATCACTCCGGATAGCTAGGAAGCTGTGTCATCTTCTGCTAAGAAGGATAGCAGAAACCTTTCCCAGCAACAGCGCTGATCTCATAGAAGCGTTGAAGAGGAGTTAGCAGAGGCTGGGAAAGGTGTGGGGGTGGGAGGTGGGGACAGACGGGTTAATGAATGCATGCAGGAGTGCAGTTGGGTAGGAGTAACTTCTGGAGCACAGCTGCATGACTGTGATTGACAATAATTGTGTATTTTAAAATAGCTAGTAAAACTTCAAGTATTTTTTAACACAAAAAAAAATGAAAGTTTCAGGTGATGGATATGCCAATTATCCAACCTGATCGTAACATGTCGTATGCATGTATCAAAATATCACACCCTATACCCCGTAAAGAGGTACAGCTAATATATGTAAATAAAAGTTACGAAGCTTTTCCTAGCTTCTGGTAGCAAACAGCAAGATGACTGTTTTTGGTGACCTCTGAAGTTCGCCTGGTATGTGGAACCTTTTAGGTAGAGGATGAAGAAATGGATGGTGGCTTACTGGAGTCGCAGTAGTCCTGGCTTGACCAGTCCAGGGTATAATAGCAATTCTTGCAGCCACCACTGCAATGAGCATCCTGAGTGTAGAAATTAGGAAAGGCAACTGCGGGTGGAACAACTTAAAATGTATGTCCCAATCCCTGAAGTTGTTCTTACCAACAAACAACAGAGGTTAAGTGTGATTGTGTCTCACCTGCCAGAGCTAGACTGGTACCAGCCGGGAACCAGTAGCTTCTTCCAGGTCTTCAGTATGGGTACAGGGGCCAAACAGCTTCCATTGCTTTCCCAGGGAATTGGATCAAAAGTGGAACAGCCCAGAGTCAAACTAGTGCCCATGTGGGGGGGAAAAAAAATGGGAAGCAAACTTAGAACTAAAGAGAAAACAAAAAGGCTAATTTTCATATCTATAGTTGGCAGTTTACTTACTTCAGTGTTATGGGGAAATCAGGGCAACAGAGACAGACTGCCTCAATCCTTATCTCACATGAAAGAAAAATTTCCAAGTGAACGAAACAGTGAGCAAAGCAAGATTTATTAAGGACAAAAGCCTGCCACATTGTTCAGGAGGGTGGGCTCCGAATGAGGAAGACCCAAAAGTTTGATCTAAGTGGGGGTCTTCGAAGCGTAATTGGGGGTCAGGGGGATGTTGGGTTGAAGAAATAGAGCAACAGCTAACAATCCGAGAGTGGGGATACAAAACTCAGAATGCTGGAATTCTAATCCTATCTAGCTTGCTCAAAACTAAAAGCCATCAGAAGAATGTGAGTGGCAGTTTTTTGAATGATTGCTTTTGCTGCTGGCTTCATCAACAGACAGGCTGTTGGGGGCTGCTGTGGGGAGATCTTACTATTCAGGGTGATTGCCCTCTGGTGGCCTGTTGTATCCTGCCTGCATTGAGTGAAAGCTAACTGACCCTCCACAGCAGTCATGCTAAAATATGCTATATAGAAAGCCAGATGAAGTCTTTCGCGTTGAAAGTTCAGGTGGCAGATGGAATGTCATCAGAAATGTTTGTGCCAAAGCTTGTTTCTCCCAAGGTCTGACATTGTCTGGCGTTAGCTGTTAGCATGGTAGTCCATCATAGAACACAAAATCAGAATGAGCCAAGTTATCAAAGACCTGGGAATGAGCCGATACCAAGTAACAAAGACCAGAGAAATATCCTATTTTCTGGCCAGATAATAAGAGAAAGTGTCCCTTCTGGGATTTTAATAATGTGATAAGGCTTTTACACTGAATGAATGAATGAATGTGTGAAACCTGAGTTCTGCATGGATTAGTGAATAAAGAACACGCTTGGGAGTGACATTATGATTTTTTTCTAAGTTATTCTCTGAGCTTCTGTTATTTTTGCTTCAAATTTGACTCTTGAGTGTCCCTTTTTAAAATTTAGTTTGAACAGTTTGAAAGCACCATTGGGTTTAAGCTGCCAAACCACCGAGCTGCCAAGCGTTTATGGAAAGTGTGTGTTGAGCATCACACATTTTTCAGGTAGGTATAAATCTTGCTTTTTTTCTCAGCTAGGGTAGAAATGATTGGCATCATACTGAACAAAGGTTGTTGGGAAGAAGAATAGGAGAGCCTTCAAGCTCACGATTACCACGTTTCTTCATAAGAAATCCTAAAAGAAGGGAAGGGAGAGTGGAAGTACCACGGTGCTTTTAAACCTGTACTGGAAAACTTTGCAACAGTAAAATAAGTTCAAGAAAATATTTGAAATCCCAATGATAATGTGGGCCATTGGGGGGGGGGAGAGTCCTGAAAAAACATAATTAAATTACAAGAATTTTCCTTAATTCGTCATGTACTTACCTGCCTCTTTTTCGTTACCTTGAATGCCTTTCCACTATTTTTACAGGGTGTCCACTTCAAGTAGCCAATCTATCCCTTACTTATTTCAATACCTTCTCCAAAGCATAGAACTTCTTTACCCACAAGCAGGAATAGACCCTGAGATGTGTGCCCATAGAGTAACAAACTCTTCACAACATCACCTTGTTCACTCCTCTTCTCTGTTGTAGTCCAACTCAGCCCTCATTTCAGTGTCGTTTGTTAAATCGGATTCATTGAAATGCGCCAAGCTTAAAAAACATGTTTAACTTACTAGACTTCCTTGTGGTTCTCATTCATCTCTTTAGACTGTTATTACCAGAAGCACCTCCAAAGAAATTCCTGACCCTGGGCTCCAAGTTCCGGTACAGTGGCAGAACGCAAGCCCAAACCAGAAGGGCCAGTGCGTTGATAGATCGTCCAGCGCCTTACTTTGAACGCTCATCCAGCAAACGCTATACCATGTCTCGCAGCCTGGATGGAGGTAGGCATCATTTACTGGCCCTGGCTCATCACTCGTAGCTTACCCAAAAAGGAGTTTGAAACCAGGAGCTTTTGATAAATGTGGGTCTTCTTGGGTATTGTAAATTGAAAAAGGGTTGTTGGTGTGTGGCTGAATGGTTTTCAGTGCTGGTACCTGGTCTAATATATATTATTGGTAAATTCCTATAAAACCATGTAAAACAGTGGTACTTAAGTCATGAAGAGCATCCTTTCACACCCTGGCACCCTGAATTTGGAAAAAGATGCTGTCATGTAAAACAAGAGTGGTCACACGCTCTTTGGACCACTTGCTGGCAAATCTTAAATGACTGTCAGATTTTTATCTGGCTCTTCATTTCAAAAAGGAAAATATAAGTTCAGTTAACACTTGTTTCTAAAAATGTCTTATGAATAAAATTTGACCCCTGCCAGGCACTTGATAGGCTGGTGAGAAGGTTGACATTCAAATAACAGAGCAAGGGGCCCTAAGTTGGCTTCTCCCGGTCACATGGATTATTGCACCAGGTGGACTGGGAGAACATGTGAGTGTTCTGAAAAGTCAGGTCAGATATGCAAGTCCAATGAGTCAAGCAGGGAGATGATCACCCTGCTGTTGGAATAAGTGAATGGTGAGCTGGGATGGGTTTCTATTCTGACAGTTTTGCATTGCTGACAGGAGAGATGTCAGCTCTCCTGTACTTACAGCAATGCTGCCCCCAGAAGCCCTGTTCTGGCCAGTTCCCTGACTTCTCAATCAGAGCACCTACAAAGCCTCTGTCTTATAGAAGACCTATCCTGTGCAAATGAAAAGAACAGTTTCTCGCATGTGTGTGTGATTTTAATAAGAAGAACAATCAACGGAAGTAGTGGGCGTCTAGGACCACTCCCTTCGCCTTGAACCTAGCCCTGTGTGGTTGATGGGACAAGTTGCTCCCTGAATCTTCAGAGTGAAAAAGCCTGTTTTTTCCTAACACAGTTATTCATCAGCGATTCATAGAAGAAATCAAAAAGTGTGTCATTTGTGCTGTGTTATGTACGTGGCAAGGGTGGCAATAGGACACTCATTGGCTGTGGGCAGCTCCAGGGGCGGGTCCAAGCTCTGGCGGTGTCCCTCTGTCAGGAAAGGCTGGCGGATGAGATTAACTCTGCACATCTCTGTTCAGCCATTTCAGTCTAAGGCCAGTGTTCACAGGATAAGCAAGATGGATATGTGGAAGTACTCTAGGTATAGATGTAATTATAATTCTGCCAGGGATTGTAGTAATGATGATTTGTGTAAGCTTTTGTGAGCTGGCCTCGGAAGGTGGTTCCGGTCAGCCGTCCGTGTAGGTCAGTTCTATATCCCTGACGTTGAATGGGCTATGAATCAAAAATATTCTTAAAAGAATGTTGTGGTCTACGCTAACATGTCCACTCCTTCCTCAGGACTCCCTCAATAATGCGGCATAGCAATGATTAACATGCATATTGTACTTGGTAGCCCCAGTGACCTAGAGATGATTTAAAGTATTCAAAAGTGTGTGGGTAAATAGTTTGTAAATCTTACACTTTTTATTTTTTTAAAAAGGGAGCGGTACTTGAGCTGTGACAGGTTTGGGGATCCAGTGGCATTCCAGAACCTGCAGCTCTGCAGAGACAGAAGGCTGACAGCGCCATTCTGTACCTTCTTAGGTTCCCCAAACTCCCAACTTAAGAGCCAACCCTTTGGAATAAAACAGTTACCCAGTGTGTCTCAGACTGAGTGAAGCTGCTGAAGTGTGTGTGTGAACATGGAAGCTTTTCTTGTGACTTTGCTCCATTTTGTTCTCCTTTCTCCATGGGAGAAGCCCTGTTAACCATCTCTGTATTCTCTAAGTCCACATTGGAAGAACTTCTGTAAACTCATACTCCATTTCCTCAAAGCCACCTGTTTTGTTCTGTAATGTGAACCCGAGAGATCCCGTTGGTTGTGAATGCTGTTTTTTCCCCGTGATCTTTTGTGTATTCGTGACCACTGAGAAAGACGGAAGACAATTGTGAAATCAGTGTACTAACTCCATGCTGTCTCTTCCTGTCTGCCCCAAAGTGATGTTAGTATGTGTTGTCTCTCACTTGCTGCGGTCCTGGCCGTTCTAGTATGTTCTACTGCTGCTGAGCTTGCCTGCATATCGAGACAGAAATGGCTATTTGCAAAGCTGCATCTTAGAACAGCTTCACTGGCCTGGGAAGAAGTTGTCTCCTCTGAGCTTTTTCATCTTTATAAAGAGATATAAAATGTCTTAGTGAAGGTACTTTTGGTGAAATAATTTAGCTATCAGGACTTCAGAATCTTTTTTTGCTTTGAAGCTCCTAGAATATGAATGCGTATTATATTTAGCCTGTGATTTGCTACTTTGTATTTGTAAAGCAGCATTTATGAATTTAATAAGTTTTATGATATCTGAAATAATGAATGCCAAATTTTAAAATGTAACTGAGCGAGGCATCTCTCTCTCTAAGACATTTTAGCTGAGGTGAAAGGCTGCATCTTAGATCTCTTATGTATGCATGCTGTGCATTTGCATGAATTTCATTTAGCAACATTTGTCTTGTTTGCCTAAAATATTAGGGTTGAAAGTATGCATATGCATATCGTGTTAGTCTGTTTAAAATGCACTAGAAACCAAGCCACTTCCTGTGCTTCATTCGAACTGAACTGCCATCTGAATTTTATCATCTTTGCCGAAGATGGTTAATTTTCATGAGTATTCTTGAGATTTTCATAGAATAGGAATGATGCACCATTTAACATTAGTAAGCATGATCATAAAACCAGGTCAGTGCTTCGTGGTGAGGGTCCCTGCCAAAGCTCTGTCCAAAGCCAAGCGCTTTAGTGCCATCATCGACTGCAAATTCTGTTCGTGTGGAACTTGTCATCCAGTGCCTGCTGTCTGTCCCCAGCCAGTGACGCTCAGCAGCTCAGCTTCCTTCCACTCACCCACCCTCGCCTGCCTCCTCACCAGAGAGCCTGACAATGGATGAAAGTTATTTATTCCAGGCCTCCCGGACTTGAAGATGTAATGCATTCTGACACCCTGGTCCAGGTGATCCAGAGCAGGTGCTGCACGGTAGTGCTCAGACGAAGGTCCCTGCGGCACAGGTTTATGTGTTCAGGGCCCAGCAGGTGCTGTGTGGTGGTATGTGTTGCCTGCCTCTCTCAGCGGTGGGACAGTGGTGGTGCTCACCCATCTTCTGACTTAACTGCTTCAGATTTTGTTTCTCCGGTTGTATTTGCTTTTAGCATCAGTGAATGAAAACCATGAAATATACATGAAGGATTCTATGTCTGCTGCAGAGGTTGGTACTGGCCAGTACGCCACAACAAAGGGCATCTCTCAGACCAACTTGATCACCACTGTGACTCCAGAGAAAAAGGCTGAGGAGGAGCGCGATGAGGAAGACGACAGACGGAGGAAGGCTGAAGAAGCCTCGCCTGCTGCCGCGGCGGTCCGGCCCGAGGGAAAGGTATAGCCCCCAGGATGCCTCCTAGAGCTCGCTGCAGCTTTGAAGGGCTTCTCAGAACTCTGGGGATGAAGGTCAGAAATGCGTTGCTATGTAGACTAGCTCATACTTCAGCACGCGTCAGATGCTTTTGTCCATTTAAATAATATTCCCATTTCTACATTTTTTTTTCTCTGAAAGTTTAACTTTGGAAAACTTTAAGAACTGACACGGTGTGTAAGACTTTCAACAACTGCCCTGTTTGAATATCTTAAAATATTGTCAGGCTCACATGTCAGAACTGTTACAAAAGGCATTTGTTGTTGTTTCTGGCCCCGTTCTCCTACCCAAGCACAGTTGTCTTTCTAGAAACACTGATCACATGGCCTTGCTTTGCATTGCAAGTACACTGAGCAGTCACAGCCTTTGTGTTAACACACTAGCTCCTGTCTTAGTTGCTTGACTGTAGTCAGCAGAGTAGTGGGCAGAAGGCAAAAGGTGTTTAGGCCATTACATTTTGTGACATTTCACCCCAGATTAAATTCAAACTGGTTTTTATTATAATGGCAGAAAGAGAGCAGAGAGGGTGTTAGAGGGAGAAAGCTCTTCCATCTGCTGGTTCACTCCCCAAGTGCCTGCAACTGCCGCAGGAGCCAGAGGCACGTCGGGGTCTCCTGTGTAAGTGGGGGGACTGAGGTGCCCTGCAGCAGGAAGCTGAATCTGAAGGTGAGGAACTGGAAACTGAACAGGCCCTCCAGTGGGGGCTATCACGGTGCCCCAAAGTGGCACGGCCTGCTGTGTCACAATGTCCGCCTGCAACATTAAAAAAATAATAATAAAATAATTCCATAATAATAAAAGCCTTCCTGCTGATCCAGCACTATAAAGCAACTGTTTTTTTAAAAAAAATGATTAAAAATGATTCAAAGTCAAAAAATTTTTAAAAATGAAAATCACCACCCCTTTGTTAGGCAAATACATCGCCATAACAGCTGAATGGATCAACTCCTAGAATGTACAAGGTACGGAGAAGCAGCAGCAGGGTCAGATGGCTTGTATAACCCACAGGTTAACTGAGTTCCTTTAGGTTACCAGTGTTGTATGACAACTCTCCAAATATAGATGTAAATGATAGTGGATCTCTTCTGAGGACTCCAAAGAAAAATGTTCCCATTGACAGGAATTCAGAAGTGAAATCTTAGTGCAGGTGTTGTGCACAGAAGGCTCAGCTGTCACTTGGGACAGCTGCCTCCCGTGGTGGAGTGCCAGTTCAAGTCAGGCTCTTCTGCTTCTGGTCCAGCTTCTGTTAAGATGCCCTGGGAGGCAACAGATGATGACTCCAGCATTGGAGTCCCTGACCCCATGGGTCCGAGCTTTGCCTGGCCCACCCACAGCTAGCATAGCTACTTGTGGACTGAACTATCAGATTGGTCTCTCTCTCTCTCTGTCTCCTTTTTCCTCACCTCTAACCTCTCCTCCATTCTTTCTTGTCCAGATGTTTAAATAGCTACAAAGAAATTAAACATAACAGCATCTTAATGGGTAGATCAGAAAGGAACAATTTCTGTAGCCATGTCAGAATATTCTAACTGAACCAATCTGTCATCTTTTGCCAGGCAGGGGGGATTAAGGACATTTATTTGGCTAACACAAAATTAGTACAAGATGAGATATGATGGCAGGGATAGTTGAGGTGTACTGATGAAGTGTACAGAAAAACTTCATGGACCGTGAACGTTAAGGGGTGGGTTTCAGGTGTATCAGTTAAGATACTGTTTGGGACCCTGTGTCTTCTAGTGGAGTGCCTGGGTTCAGGTCCTGGATCAGCTCCTCATCCCAGCTTCCTGCTGATACACACGCCAGGAGACAGCAGGTGATGGGCACTCGAGTCCTTGACAGCCATGTTGGAGATGCAGAATCAGTTCCTGGCTCCAGGCTGGCTCATTCCTGACCATTAGGGACAGTTGGGGAATAAGTCAACAGATAGGAGCACCCCCTCTGTCACCTCTGCCTTTCTAATAAAATAATTTTAACAGTCTATGTTGACGCAAAAAGAGTTCGAAATCCATGCACAATTTTTCTTCATGCTCGTTTCCACAAACGTTCCATAGTACACTCATATTCCCCCATTGTAAAGCTGTCTGCCAAAACCTTTTTTAATAGGATGCATGAAGAATTATGCCATAATTTTATTCCTCTCTGTCTTCAAACAAGAAACATGGTGGGTGCTTAAGTCTTAACCAAAGGAGAATAATGTTAGTGGACAGAGTTCTTCAAAGACCTCCCCTGGATTGCTGGAAGAGGCACTCCCCCACGGATGCCTAGGCATGGGGTGGCCTCTGCTTCCAGAGAACAGCTGTCGTCTTACCGGAGGTGGCTTGTAACTTCTGTGTCATTTCTAGTTGGATGGCATCTGTACAGCCTCCTGTTTAAAATGCACCATTTTATGTTGAACGTGTATGTTTGGGAAAAGACTTGTGATCAAAAGAGACACTTCTAATGCTAATATATTCATGATATAATTTTATTTGTTTATTTGCTTTCCCTCCATTACTGTACTTACCACTTTTCTCCAAGTCAGGATTAGATAATCACCCCCAAAGCAGCCTGAATAATTTTTATGCTGTGAAGTCTTTAGATTGAACAAATACACACACAGAAACACACAGACAAGCATTTAAAAATTATTTGTTTATTTGAAAAAAAAAGAGTGTGAGAGAGTGGAGAGACAGAGAGAAAAAAATGCAGTCTACTCATTCACTTGCTGAATGGTTGCAACAGCCAGAACTGGGCCAGGCTGAAGCCAGAACTCCATCCAGCAGGTCTCCAACATAGACAGTAAGCCTAACGACTTGAGCCATCATCTGCTGCTTCCCAGGAGTGTTAGCAGGGACCTTGATCTAAAGCGGAGCAACTGTGACTTGAAGTACTTACAGTGCGAGCGGCAGCTTAACCTGCCCAACACCAGCCCTAGAATGTAGCATTTATCTTCAAGTCCCAGGTGCCCTGGCCTTGTATCCTCCGAGACTTGGGCAGTTCTCAGATCTTTCCGGGTCCTGCTTGTGGTGAGCTTGCTTCCCTTCTTCCCCCTGTTGCCCAACATCCCTTCTGCCACCTGCAGAGGAAATTGGCTGTGCTCACTGAGGTATCCTGCACACAGAATGAATGGTAACTGGATCTCCTTGCCCCGTAAAGACTTTGAGCTCAGCAGAGCCTCACTGTTGTGGGAACAGCCGCTTTGGCCATTGTATTAAGGATTCGATCAAAGGTATACATACGCCCTTCTGAAAAATCAGAAGGCTGGGAAATTTTATCTTTCTATTATTTATGAGGCCACAAATAATAGAAAGTAAACACAAACCATGTTACAAGAAAACCCATTCTTTTAGCTGGTTAGTTTGTTGAAACCACTGATTTGTATAAAGGTTCCACTAGCCTCCCAGAGAAGGAAAACAAAACAGAAAGGTTTTCACAGGATCCTCCATTCTTTGTGGAGAGTCAGAGTTTCTGAAATGCGCATTGTTGAGTGTCCAGGTAAAGACTTCCTGTCACATAGGAGTGGGGCCAGAAACGTCCTGATTTCGGAAACCCACCTGCCTTGAATATGATTAACTAAATGAAAAGAAAGTAGTGCTAGAGATTTTAAAGAATAAGAATCAAAATTTGGATTGAACTTTTTAATCCAACTCAACTGTGACTTAGATAAGGAGAAAGTTATTGAAAGTCTTGATGTTAACCCATTAAGTTCCTGGTTTTCCATTCTGCAAGTATTTCTACAACATGCTGATTTCAGCATTGCCATATGGTATATTTCTTGCTCAGTTTAACTCTCTGTGTCATATACCGGATGATGGGACATAACTAAGTTATCAGAGAGTTGCATTTGCTTTCAAAAATCCAAAAACTTTCTCGAGTCTGTCTAAAATGAAACTTTTTTGGTTATGTAAAACTTGTAGATTTTGGGACTCTCTCTCTCCCCCCACCAAATACCTTCTGTTCTGACTCTTAAAAGTAAAACTCCAGCCTGTATGTCGTGTTCCCATGGAAGAAATGAGGCCATTCATGATGAGATTGGCATGCAGCTTAAATATCTGGAAATTGATGAGCAACCCTAATGTTAAAATTCTTGTATTACAACTTATATTGACTCCCATAAGAAAATTAACTAATTGCAGTTTTCTTTTTGTCCTTTTGCACCTCTGTTTGCTGCTTCCTGTCTCTCTCTCTCCTTCACATCAGTCCCCTGGGCTTGGCACTCACTCATGTCCCCTGTCACCACCATCAGCCGGTCACATCCTTGCCTCCCCCACCGAGCTGCGCCAGAGGTGTAAGGAAAAGGAACACGCACTGCCAGGCTACGAGTCACCCAAAGCCCAACACATGTGTGGGGAGCCTACCTTGGACCCTAATGGCCCAGGGAAGGCCTACGTGGGGGATCAAGATGCAGCCTTTAGCTGCAGACAGCAAACTGGCAAAGGGACCACGCTGTTTTCCTTCTCCTTGCAGCTCCCCGAATCATTCCCCTCCCTCCTCGATGACGATGGCTACCTCTCTTTCCCCAACCTTTCTGAAACCAACCTCCTGCCCCAGAGCTTGCAGCATTACCTTCCCATCCGCTCCCCATCCCTGCTGCCCTGTTTCCTCTTCATCTTCTTCTTCCTGGTTTCCGCCTCCTTCTCAGTGCCATATGCCCTCACCCTCTCCTTCCCTCTGGCTCTGTGCCTCTGCTACCTGGAGCCCAAGGCAGCCTCCTTGAGCGCCTCCCTAGACAATGACCCGAGTGACAGTTCAGAGGAAGAGGTGTGTACCTCGGCATAGAACACACTTCCCCTACGTGTTCCGTGCTTCAGTCTGAAACAGTGGTAGCCGGCTGCTGCGATACTGGTCCTACTTTCAGAGCCTCATTTATTGTCTGTGCCAATATGTTGAGGTTATTTTGTGTGTGTGTTGGGGAGTCCAACCGGGCCCCAGGGTTAGGCACAACACCATGTGGCCGTAGTAGTCTGAGCAAAGCCCAGAATCAGTCTTGTGATCCTCTGAGTTCATGTGGGGTTGAAGGACTCATTTGGAAGTCAATTTTAAATAACACATTAGAGTTGTAAAAACTATAAGGACTACTTTGTAGGTCCTATGCAGTTAGCCCACGGTAAAGCAACTCACACATGAGACAGCTGAGTAACTTGGAACTTTATTGATAGACAAGGAGAGATGGAAGGGAGCACCCCAGGACTGTGTCATCATTGTCTTAGTAGCAGCATCTTCTCCTCCAGGCTAGTTCAGAAGCACCAGACTGCACCTGTCACTCCTGGCCTGCAGCGTATACACTGGATCAGAATGAGTGTCCCATGGGTTTGGAAACACTTGCCTGACATCATTCATTGGCAGAACTGCATGCAGTGAGCAGGGTTCAGACCCAATCAAGACAGGTCCTAATCGAGGCTGGATCTGCGTCAGTGGTAGCTCTGGTGTGCCTAGGTTGGATGCAGCCCCTTCATTCAGCTCCACCATATGCTAAGCACTGCCCTCATTTTGAAAGACAGCATGGTGCAATCAGGAAAGCTGGCAGGCCTGTATGGCTCCCAGCCAGGCATACACTTAATGAAAGAACCGAAGTTCCCAGCCTCTATCCATGCTAGATGGCTCACCACCTGTCGGTCTTTCAGCACTCATCCCAGCTATTGGGCAAGCTGACCTTGGAGCCAGTAGTTTGTCCTCTTCGTTGTTCTCTTTGCCCTCCACATCCCACTCCCTGAACAGCCCAGCAGTTTTCCCTTCCTCCACTCTCAGAGAAAATAATAGAGGCTGCTTCCAGCAGGTGCGTCTGCTTGTCCTTAGCTGCCTTGCACCTCCCCGAGGGTCTCTTCAGCCTTCCTGTTCCCACAGAAACAAGGGCTTCTGTGGCATGAGACGAGCCAAATATTTCTAGCATTTACACTAAGAAGAATTGCAGCAGCACTACAAAAGAAAAGGAAATCTATTCAGTTCTGTGCTCAATAGAAAGGCATCGTTTGAGCTGTACCTATAGGCGTACAGACTGGTGAGGGTCTCTATGTTTTTATATTTAGTGGTATTGTGGCCATTTCTTTGCAGTAGACAGGGGAAAGAGTGAATGGTGTGACAGAAGTTTTAAACAAAAGTCTGAACTTTTCAACTTGTTGTCACATAAGGCCCTTTTTCCGTGTCAGGTTATATATGATTGTTAGCTTCAAGTGATCACACACACACCACACCACTAGGAAGTATTTTAAGAACTAAATCCTAGGCTTTAGTACTACCAGCTTCCCACACAGGCAATGCTACTAGCTAATGTACGAGAACACCCTCCAGTGAATATTAGCATTATTCACCAAGATTCCTTATAGTATCAGCCAATTTCCAGGCTATAGGTAAACTTCTCCTTTAGCAGTAGAGTGAGTCATCGGGCTAGCTGGAAGCAGAGAGGATCGCTCTGTTAAGCTTTTCTAAATTCTCATTTATCTGTTTGAACGTTTCTGTAGTCAACCACACAGATCTTGTGCCTAATCCAGGGTATACATCTCGTTGTAATCAGTGCATGAGAGTTAATGTTCAACTTGGGCATGTCTGCATTACATTGGCAAAACAAATCACAGCACTCCCTGTTGCCGGCACGCGAGTGCCAGGGCGCTGCCCCCTGCCCCCTGTTGAAGTGGGGGATCAGCTGTCCTCCATCCCGTCCAGGTCCAGTGAGCCGCCCTGCAGCTCTCCCCCGCTGGCAGATTTTGTGTCTGGCCGTCTGTTCAGTGTCCATGCTCCACCCCAGGTGTTAAAGAGCTGTGCATTCCAGTTTGGCCTAAGCGAGAGAATTATCTAGGTCATTCAGTTCATTTGGGGGGCTTTGCTTTCGGCGGGGGGGAACCCTATTTGCTTACATGGCCTGTTATATCCGCTAGGCACTTTGGCAGCTAGGCTGGCGGGGTTCTTAGAGTCCAGCTGTGTCACTTTGATTTGGCAGGTCACTGATGGCTGTTATTCTATTTCAGTATTTTGTCACTGCCTAACGTTTTCCACGTGTTGCAGAGGCATGATCAGTTTCCGCCATTCTCCAGGAGAAACCCCTGCAGATATGGGCTTACTGATTTCAAACTGTAAAGTTGTTAGGCAGCCATGTTTTTTTCTTTTGTGCTTTCAGAAGGGGTAGATTATCAGATCATGTACTGGGATGGACTCATAAGATGAGCTTGACTCACCAGCATATAATTCCGTGTGAATTTCAGAGTAGTTTTGGGATAACAACACACACACACACACACACAAAATGGAGACAAATTCAAATCTGGAGGGAAAGAAAGAAAATGAGTTGATATCTGACTTGTCGTACCTGTGTAGTTTGGTGGAGGCACTGCTGGTTACATAAACAACGCTTGTTATCAAAGCTGAACGCCTCTACGCAGCCTTTATTCCTCCATTGCTTGCCTCTTGGTCATGCATTATGCTTCTCTCTAAGAGCTAAATGGGAGGTGAAGATACAGCTAAGCCATTCCATTTTCTCCACCTAGATGAGATAGTCGTAATAATCATGTACAATTATTATCGACATCTCATAATACTATATTAGCATTGATGTTTTTGTGCTGCAATACTATCTTAAATCAGTACTGGATACTTAGCTCTCCCTGCTGGGCACCAGGATAAAACTTGTAACATCTGTGACATAGCTGGAGCTCTGTCTTGCCCCATTTTCCAAGAAGAAAACGGGGATGAAAATACGGCCCATGTTCAACGTGTCAGCAGTTTCAGCAGCAGAGTGGGGAGCGCCTGTCAGGCTCACGTGGGACAGCACTCCAGTGTTCAGTTGCTAGCAGGTGTTACTCATGTCCATTTGAAAGCCAGAAGGAAAACGATGGAAAGGGAAATCTTTTCCAAAAAAAAAGTTTATAAAACTTTTGACACAAGTGATTAACCAAAACAAACTATTTGGTCTGGAAAGTCTAAAATCTCTGAGTTAATTGAGCACTGAGTGACCTGTTCCCTTGTCAATTCAGTAAGGCTGGGCTCACACCACGGCCACGATCACGATCTTGCAAAACAAACAAACAAACAAACCCACAGCCACCCTTCCCCAGTTGTCAACCGGGTGGCCAGCTCATGACACTGGGCTGAGAGCACACAATCCTCACCAGCCTCCTGAAATTATTTCACAGGTGGATTCCCAGATAGGCCCCAGTCTCAGCAGAGTCTTGCTTAGGACTGCCTAATCTTCACAGAGGCAGAAGCGTCTAGATGAAGTCTCAGTGGCCTTACTCAAAAGAAAAGAGTTTTTATTTTAAATCTGGAATCTCCGTGAGACAGACTATACAAGCCTCTCCTGAAATTGCCATTAGATTCTCTCCTGAAAACCTAGACTCACTCAAATGCTGTGCTTTGTTTTATTTGTTTCCAAGTAGATGTCTCTTTATTTTTAAATTTTGTTATTTTACTTCATTTCAATGGTTCTTTTGGAACACAATGTTTAAATATGTACTTTGATATACTTCTTTGTGTTAGAGGGTGGGGCAAAAGAAACAACAGATGGTCTTTAAAAGTATATCTGTTAGCAATGCTACTATGAGTTCCAAAAAACAAAAAACATATGCCTGGGAGTCCCTGGCATGTGCTTTTTTATGACCGATAGGTAATGCAGACAGCCTGATGGTCATCGGTGGATGTAAATTCTCCAGATGGTATAAATGAGGGGCTGAAAGTGCAGTGACTGTTACAGTAGCTTTGATGTAAATTTCCAATGAACTTTGAAATGTGACATTTTACTAGCATAAAAAGTACATCAATTTTATTTGCACTGAACAGTTTTAGAAGAGCTGTAATGGGGTCTTAGTGACCAGAGTCGGGGTGGGAGGGTATGACAAATCGGTTTTGCTGAGACCTAGGAGCAGGCCGGTCCGTGTGGCCCCCTGTGGTCCCTGCATTCCTGCAGGTGGCACGTGCCTCGGGTCTTCCTCGGAGTGGGCTCCGTCAGGGACACCCAGCTCTGCTCTTCTTTCGCTTTGGCTTGCCCCTGCATTCCTGTGGGAAGGTAGAGTGCTGGCAGGTCCCCGAGAAGGAAGGTGAGCACTGTCACTTGCACCCTACCCTATGTGACCAGATTGGTTTATTTTCTATCCCTGCCTTCTTCCTGGAATCTGGTCACTGCTGTGCTCATCAGACGGACAGCGAGCGGACAGACACGGCCGCTGATGGGGAGACCACGGCCACTGAGGTTGGTACCCCGAGTGAGGGTAGCGGCGGGGTGGTGCTGCTTGGGGTGGGGAGATGCACCCTAACCAGAACATGGGGTTCAGTGTGCCTTTCTGTGCTGGTCCAGGGGTTCCAAGCCCACAGCTTTACCCATAGGGTCAGGCTTCTGAGGCTGAAGGACTCTGGGGTCTTTGTTTCTGCTACATTTCCGGGCATCATGGAATCACAGATTGAGAGCCATTTTCTTAAACTGATAATAATTTTTACAAAATAGCATTACTCAAATGAGAGGCTATTTCGTTTGATAGTTCAGATGAGTGGGAAAAAAGATCACCACGAATTTAATTAGCTTATTGACTGGGTACAGATATACAAATATTTTAAAGCCCTGAGTGATTAGTTAATACTGGTTGAAAGAATGCTTCTCTTAACTCATTTTTGGTAGCCTTTAGCTGTAGGCAGGGCCACTAATAAGAAATGAATCCTCTAAGGAAGTGAAAATGAGCAAGTTTCAATTAGCACTTTATTGAAGAGAAACATTATCATATCATTCTCCTTTACGATATGTGAAGTGTGTGTGTGTGTGTGTGTGTGTGTGTGTGTGGCACTCAGGCTATGTGGCATAGCTCTCCTACAAACAGGTAGTTAAAATTTCTGTAGAAATGGTATTTATCCGTAGAGATGAAAGTCAAGATGTTTATTTCTCAAAGTGTCAGCAGAATTTAGTTCTTCCTTTGTGATATTATTCATTTTTGGTTCTGTGTTATTTTCCATATCATCCAGTCACAACCATATTTTCTGCTTTGGCATTGGAGGAGGGCTAACAGTGCTGTTAAGTGGTGTTGGTGTATCACTTAGCTGTAACTTGGCATCTTCAGAACAGCACCTGATTCAGTTTCTCCCTACGGAAATGCCTGTGCTCTGCACTCAGTGCTTCCAAATCATAGCTGTGTGAAGTTATCCAAGTTGTCACAGTTACCCAACTTGTTTTAAACAATATATAAACGTCCCACGTATAAATTTGTTCTATACCAAATAGAACAAAAACTGCAAATAGATTTTGTAGTAAGTACAAGTTAATACATTCAGTCATTGTCATTGGAATCCTTAATGTGTGTTATAAATTTGAAGTATTTTAGTAATACTTACAGTTTGCTATGAACATTTAAAGCATGCATGCAACAGCGTGCAGCATCAGGAGCTTGTGAAGCTTGAAAGCAAGAGGACCTGTGAGCCCTGTAGACTCCCTTTGGACTGAGCCTGCCACACCATGCCTAAGCTTCCTGTGTGCTCTAAAGTGTTGAAACATTTGGCCTTCCTCTGAGGCAGCCAGCCTATGAGTGGCACACCTTGTGGTATGCAGCATAGGCAGTGTTAGTCCCACTGACAGTTAAGAAAACGCACCCAGAAGGAGTGAATGCGGTAGGCCTCTTGCCCAGGTGCCAGCCATCCACCTGTACTTTCACTCAGGGCCTGCTATTGGCTCACAGAAGTATAAAGCTCAACATGTTCTTATTTTCTTGCCCTACTTACCTGGTTACCCACAATAAGAAAAGCAGTCTGATTATTAGAGAGTTCCTTGAGATCAGAAAACTAAGGGTAATGAAATGACTTTGGGATCAATACTTATTTTTCAAAAATTCTAAAAATTATCCTGTTATCTTAAGAAACATGATGGCAAGGGGTTAGATTCAAGAAAAATCCACATTCCAGGAGATTTTAAAATAGAGAAGCCTCTATATTTCCATTCATTGAGCCTCAGTTTTCTGGTCGGCAAACAGGATCCTCAGAGTGGATCTTGCGGGATCCTGAGGCTGGCTCCTTCCACGGAAGAGCTCCTGTTATTGTGTGGTCCTTGCCACTGTCAGCAACTATGATTCTGATCTGGCTCCTGGACTTGCAGAACTGTTTTTAAAATTCATCCCAAACCACTTGACAAGCCCTCACTGTCGCCATCCCAGGCACATGAGTCTGTCCCCGCACAACAGCAAAGACCCCAGGACAAGGAGTGTTTTGCTTGTGTCTTCCACAGCTTCCTTATTAGTGTGTGAGAATGCGTGCTTTGTGTGTAAGAATTTGCATCTTGAATCCTGCCTAGGGATGTCATTGCTTTGCCCACATTCAGCAAGTTTCTGTAGGCCATATTCCGTCTTGGAGTAAATCGCATGGTAAGACTTTTATTTCCCACTCTTTCTTGACGCTGGCAGTCGGACCAGGAGGAAGATGCCGAGCTCAAGGCACAGGTAGAAAACTTAAACACCAAAGCAAACCCCAGTGTGTAAGAGCCATTGTCTGTGCCCAGTGTTCAGATCTCGCAGCATGCCCCGTCGCTGTTACCATGCTGTCGGTGCATAGGATGGCGTTTGCTCCCTGGACTACTGAGTCCCTTACCTTTCCCTTTCTTCTCCACTTTTTTCAGAATAGTCTGATTAAGCGAATAAAGGGTGAAAATGTGTATGTCAAACATAGTAATCTTATGTTAGAGGTTGGTATTGGTATATACCAGTGCATGTCTGTGTGGTGTTTTCTTTTTAGTGGCATACCTGTGGCCTTGTACCATGATGCATGAATTGTGTGTTCACCTGTTCGTATGGGGATGACTTCTAAGCTTTCTGATTTCTTATTTTCTCCTAGATATAGATCCCTTCTCCTGTGTGTGTTTTTATTTTCATTCTCTCTGCCTACATGTGAATTGTGTTCTTAACAGTTTATCTTTTAAAATATTTTTGATTGTTATGCTTGTATGAACTAAATTTTTTTTTTTACTCTTGCTCCCTTCCGTGGAAATATCACATTTTCACCAGAGTGTTTGTGGTGCTGTCTTGAGCCCTGATCCAAATTCTGTTTTATTTTGACTACTAATGAGATTTAAAAGATCATAAAAGAGAGTTGAAAGCAACTGTGAAGCACTGACTGTTGAATTCTTTATATCCTAAACATAGGAGTTAGATAAAACTCAAGATGAGCTGATGAAACATCAAACGAACATCAGTGAGCTGAAAAGAACCTTCCTAGAAACCTCGACAGACACTGCCGTAACCAATGAGTGGGAAAAGAGACTTTCTACCTCGCCCGTGCGACTGGCCGCCAGGCAAGAGGACGCGCCCATGATCGAGCCACTTGTGCCCGAAGAGGTCAGTGTCCAGGCTTGGGGTGGAAATTGTCTTCTGTTCCCTAGCATGGCTGCTCTGCCGGGTCTGGGGGCAGGGGATGGGAGCTGGCGAGCGAAGGAGACAATGTCACCGCTTCTGTGTGTGCAGCCTGCGTTGGGGTGCCCCGTGCTCCCCAAGAAGGCTGCCCAGTGAAATGAGCAGGTGACTGAGTAGCAAGCAGTGGCGAGTGACAGTGCTTGCAGTGACCGGGGAGCCATGGGGACCCCAGCGAGTCCCACATATCAGGCAGCTTTGACCACGACGGGGAGGAACTGGGCTACCACCTTATTAACAAGTTAACCCTTGTTCGGTATACACTCCTGCTGCTGCGTTGGAAACAGGTCCTGCGTGTGTGTTTGTTTGTTTTTGTCGGTTGCAAAGTGAAGCCTGTTGAGACTGTCTGCTGTTTGAATGGTGATCTGTCATTTCACAGCCTTTCAGGACGCACTGACTCTGAGCTGCTACGCCAGGCCTCGATGGGAGTGATGAAAGTTTTGTCTGATTTTTATGTAACTGGCAATGTGAATAGATTTACATAGAGTTGTATTTGGTTTTCTGAAGGGGTGGGGAGCAGGGAACAGGATTTAAAGTAATACTCTGTCATCTAGGAAAACTTCTTAAATGCACAGCTAGAGAAGGGTGAGAACCCTGCAGGAATGACTTGAAAGCGCCCAATATCTACCCAGTCCCCCAACAAATGACCAGTGCTAAGCTGTCTCCTAAGAGGCATCATCTGGCTTTCTTACTCTTTCAAAAGAAGCCGTTTTTTGAAACAGCTTTTTACTAGCCTGATATTGATTAATCTCCTTATCAAACACTCCCTATGTTATGAGCCATTTGTTGAGGAAGTGAAAGCTGAATAACAAACCAAATCTCAGGCCTTTAAGTGAGAAAAATCCTTGAAGTTACAGTCTGCATACAATGCCCGAGTCATTACTGAGAAAATGAGAACCAAATCACACACATTATTGAGCATTTTGTAAGCCTCCTTTGAAACTTGTTTATCAAGAGTGACCAAGCTATCTTGTGTTTGTATGTGCATGACAGTTCCCCAGGTAAGGAGAGGGTAGTGATGTATCTAGTGGAATGACTTTGAAAAGGGTCTTTTTGTAAGTGGAATAAATGGAGTGAGCCCTTATCAAGGTATCCCTATACCATGTAACTAGTTTGACAGTTTCAAATTTAAATTGCTTGTCTCTCTAAGGACCAAAGTTTGACATTTGGATTAAGTATAATAGTCTTCGTATTAATAAGAATGCCGTTTATCAACTGTACTTTCATAACTATTTTTGTAGTTGGTCAAATTTGTCATAACCTTATTTTTGTTTTCTCTTTTGGAAAGAGCATACCAACTCCAAGGATGTCAGATACCAGACTAAATTACAAAGTCGCAGAATAAATAGCCACCCAAAACAAAAACACATGCGGAGAAGCCAAACCTCTCTTCCCATGCATTTAAGAAAGTGATAGATGATGACCACTTTGAATGAAATTTTGGAGATGTTGGACCAGGGGGCTTTAAAAGTCTGGACCATCAGAGTAGTCATTAAATCCTAACTCTTAGGAAATGACATCTGAGGAATCCCAAAGAAGTGATACATAAATTACTCTGAATTTTCCCTTGATGCTCATGTATTTTTCCAGAAAAACTGGAGAAGGCCAAAGAAGGAACTTTTCCCTGTTTTTGCCATGTCTAGAGGACAGAGGGAGTTGGTCGTGTGTAGACGAGCAATCACGTTTTGGTTATGCAGACTGGCAAGACCCACTGCTGGCTTAGTGAGTGCTCTCGGCTCTGCTCAGCAGTCACTCAGCACCTCAGACCTGCATTGCCTCTGCACACAGAGGAGATGAACTTCAAGAAGTTCAAAGAGAATGGAGTTAAACAGCAATGTACATTTTCCGTGAGTTTCTTGAAGATCTCATAGACAAAGCATATTGATTTTTAAATACATAACCAGGAATTTAAGAAGTGTTTTTCAAAGCGAATTACTAATTTGACAGCACTCTACTTAATTTATATGGCCTACTTTAAATTACATTGTAATAAACAAGCTTAGAATGAAAAAAAATGCTTTTTTAAAAATTGATATCCCAGGTAAAGTAGTAACACTTATGTCAGAATCAGGAAGAAACTTGGATTCAGCGGCCCCAGTCCTACAGCCCAAAGCTCGGTTGCTTTTATTTTGTTCCTCACTAACGTTGTGCAAAAATGATATTTTTGCAGGGAAAAAACAATCTAATGACCTTTAATTTTTAATGTGAACATCTGTTTGAATTCTAGGTAACTGTTCTATAGTATATGACCACTTTATGAATAGTTAGAAGAAAATTTTAGTTAGAAACACATAAATGATCTAATAATGATGATTATATGCTGAGACTGTTGTGTGTTTGCTATGTGAAATGGGAATCTGATTGCCAGTGGTTGAAAGTTTCCAACATTTAATAGCAGCAAACAACAAGGATGTCTTAAAGCAACAGACAGTATGAAATCATCATGAAGTCAGGGGAAGACATGTAAAGCATTGCCCAGCAGGACCGGGAAGGGTTGGTGCATGGTGTGTGCAAGTTCCGGGTGAGTGCTCTGCTCTCACTCATCCACCGAGGGGAGGGAGCCAAGCTAGCGATGTGTTCTTTAGTGAGTCCTTGAACACCGAAAGGTCCTAAATCACAATCCAAACCCAACACCCATTAGCACCTGTGCAGCAGCCTTGTCCTTTTCAGCTCAATAGTGGAGTTATTACTAGACAGTAATGCCATGAGCTAGAGGCTTACCACAGTTCATGTTCATTTACCCGTGGATTCCCTGAAAAGTAAGTTGCCACTTGTGTTTGTAGAAACCCTTCATCTCTCTTGAGTAAATGACTCCTCGGTGAATTTTGTGTATCGGAATAAGGCATGCTTTCCTCAACACGATGTAGGGGTGAATGTTTAAGCCATTGTCATAGTAGTGCTCATTTTCTGTTCTGGAAGATCTCAGAGGGTCTGTGCTTTGCAAATAAAGGAGATCTATCTAGCTGCTGGTTCGTGCAGCTGAACGTCCCGACTGAGACATCCTCATCTCTTTGGATGCTGGTGAGGGCATCCTGGGCTCTGTCACATCACGGTGGGTGGCAGCCTAGCAGGGGAGCTGGTGAGCAGGAGCCGTCAGATGGCAGGTCAGGAGGCAGGCTGCCTCTTTTTCTGTAACAAACACTCTTAGGAAAGAAACACACTCATTTCCAGAAACTGGCATTAATGCCAGTGATCCAAGACCTGATGGCCTTCCACTACAGCCTACTTCTTTGAGGTTCCACTGCTTTTTGATATTACCACATTGGGATCCCTGGTTCCAGCATATGAACATATAAAGGACCAGACCCAAACTATAGCAGGAACTAAAGGAAGCAGCTGGGATATACTTCATACTATATTCTAAGCTCCAGGAAGGTACATTTTTAGATGCTTTCAGCTCTTCACTTCTGTGTTAGGAGATCGAACCATATCTGGGATACCATCACTTGTACACATCTCTCCCCTACATTGCCTGTCTATCGTTACACACAGTTCTGAATGTAGTCAGTATTGGCATTTCCAACTTTAAGACATAGACATTTTACAGTTATTTGATTTCAGACACCAGGATATGCTGGAAAACCACTTTTCCACTGCTGGGTTTTCTTAAGCTTTTTTTTTTTTATCTGAAGAATAATATTTATCTGATTGTAATTGCAGTTCTAGTAGAATTAGTCTGTAAAATGCCTATGATTTTGACCTTTCCTGCCTGTTTCTCATTTCCATTTGAAAAAGAGACTATGATTGAAAGTTTTAAAAAAATAAAAGAATCTACCTTTAGTGGTTTCACATGGTACATTTTATCTTTCCCAATACTCCCCTTCAAAATGCATCAGGAGAGCAGTTTTTTTCCCCTTCTGCAAAGGGCTTGTCTTGTTAGAAAGAATCACATGAGATTGGTACCAACGAACACTGTCCCTAGGCCCTGCAGGACAATAGCCCAGATGTTCCATTACAACCTCTGGCAGGCAGGTAATTACATGTAGAGCTGGTAGATTGGTAGACAATCAGAAACTTTAAATAGTTGGTATAATATTATTTCGTATACAACAAGAAAATTTTTAAGAGAATGCCATGATTGTTTTGTTGATCAGTCTTCCAAACAAAACTTTCTGTGCCTACTGTCTTGGAATTACATGCTGTACAGAGGTAGAACTGGTAGCTGCTCTGTGGCCATCTGGAGGGTGCCTACTTAATACTAAAGAAAGCAATGAAAGTAGCTTTGCAGTCCAAGTCAGGGATGAATGCGGTGGCCTGGTGAGTTAAGCTGCTGCTGGGATCCGGTCCTGCCTGTGTGTCTGGTCCAGCTCCTTGCTGATGCGCCTTGGGAGGTGGCAGATGACAGGCCAAGTGTTTGGGTTTCTGCTCCCCACATGGATGACCCATATGGAGCTCCTGGCAGTTGAGAATTAGCTGGTTCGACTTTGGATGTGGCAGGCATTTGGGATGCAAGTCGAAAGAGGTGAGATCTCTGTCTCTCCATCCTTCCTCTGGCACTCAGCTTCTCAAACTAAGAAATCTCAAGAAAGTAAAACACTGATGCCTAGCACAAGATGTTTGATGTTTTTAAATTCTAAACATTAAGGAAAAAAGTATGATTTGATACAGTTTCTCACCAAGATGTCCTGAAATTGACATTTGAAAATCATTCACCACGTTATACATGCTCAAATTAAGCTATAATCTTGAATAGTCTTTACTTGTGGAACTATAAAGAAAGAAAGTAGAGCTTGGTTTATTCCAACTAGTTATTATCCAATGAACCTGAGTGGCCTTCCCTTCAACAGATGCTCACAAATGGGGGACACATCCAATTGTTCATTTAAAACACAAGTAGGAATTTGTTATTAAACATTTTAAATTTAACATTTTCTTTTAAATACTCATTTCTACACTCTTACAGATAGCTGACATAAAAACACAGTACAAATGCCAAGTTTTTTTTTTTTAATCACTCATGTATATTTTGTGGGAATGAGATATTTAAGTCATAAACATTCAGGTGTCAGGAAGCAATGTTACCTACGGAAATAATTCCTTGAGACAGTTTCAGTCCATTGTTCAGATTAACAAATCATAATTTACTTAGCAGTTTGAATGAATATCATGAGTGTGGATTTTATATGATTAAAAAAAAAAAACCTCACTTCCTAACTTACTGTTTCGGAAACTGTCTGCCTCCTCCTCTCCAACCCAACCCCCTTTATTCAAACAGACCAAAGAAGAAAGAGAGATTTCTGAAAAAGTTATATTTTTGCAACAAGGAAGCTCTCCATTCTTTGAGTCTCAGGTAAAAAATAAACATGAAGAACTTCCCAGAAGGAATTGCTATTCAGACTTCAGTATCATTAAACTGTCTTTAGTTTTATTTTGCTTTGTGAATTTTTCTCATTTTAAACTAAGGTGGGTATTGAAGTTTTGCTTCCATTCCGGGGAAGGGATGAAGGAATTTCGTCCTGTTTTCGTTGTGTAGAATGGTTCATTTCTTTATGCCTTCTGCTGCTTCGTGATTACGTGTTGTCGTTGAAATGTTGTGACTGTGCTGTTCTCTTATTGATACCTTTTGCTGCCTGTTTTTTACCCATAGATTTTTTTTTTCTCAACGTGCTTTAGATGACCTTGGTTGGTTTTGAAAGCTCTGAACTGTTACTGGTTTTTCCCTAGCCAAGTGTGATAAAGGATACGCAGGAAGGCGCCTCTGCTCACTCTGTGGTTACCTCTCGTCAAGTAACTTTCCAGAAAACTCTCCCAGCGACCCTAGAGGTTAATTTTTTTTTTTCAATTCATTTAATCCCAGCAGCACCAGCATGTAGATGAATCTGTGGTCTTTTGTCTTAAGGCACACATTATTTTTAGAATCAGGTTCTCAGGCCACACCACGCATGAAGGTAGAAAACACATTAATGTAAAATGTCATCCAGAACACCTGCCTGTGTCCACGTCCCTCTGTAACCCATCAGGCTGGTCGGCCCTCCAGAGACATCGGAACAGAAACTTTGGTTTCTTCTACTTTTCACGGATTGGCTCTAAGGAGCATGGGGGCGAAACTCCTGAGACAGGTGCAGATGACACTGGAACACTCGCACTGACAGTGAACTGGCTATGGAGCTTCCCATCCGTGGGAAGTCGCCCATTGCAGAGCCTAGACCCCAGGCACACACACTGTCAGTTGCATAATGGCTGTAGAGGAGTCGGTTCCCTGTCAGAGGAGGTATAGCTCACAAACCTAGAAAAGCAGTGTGATGTTGACAAGTTCTTATGACAACGGGGCTTTTTAGAAAGTTCCTGGGAAAATAGGGCAGTGCAAAAAACACATGGATTTCAAAGCTTTTTTTTTTTTGCACCGAAATAAATTTTTCCTTTAATTTCATTTTCCTGAAAACTTTTTGAAGTACCCCTGTACTTGGAGTATATAGTCTATTTAGCATGGAAAACTGTTCCGTGGTGGTCACACACAGAAAATGACTTGGAGTAATTATTTCCATAGTGTTGTTTAATCCTGAAATATAAAACGACCACAGTAATGTACAAGATCAAATTTATTTCTTGCAATGCTTACCACCAGAGTATATGTTCATGTAAAGAAATGTGACATGATGGTTCCACCTACAGCATGTATTCTAGGTTGGAGTTTCTACTTAGTAAATTGCAGGTGAGAAGGGATTGCAGCTGTTAATTACTACACCCCTGGCACTGTGCAGCCCCCTCTCAGACCTGCCTATAGCCCTTGTCCTGATTCTCTTAGAAGGTTCTTATTTTAGAAATGAGATAACCATCAACCTTTCTAATTTAGCTTTTATATTTCAAATATAGGGCACAGAGGATTGGGTTATTGTAGACAAAATACCCACTGAGGTAGTTGATGGTGATTTGAAAAAGATTGTGACTTACAAGGTGGTGACCGTGAGCAGTAGAACCGGTGACATCCCAGCCGACATGTTAAAATCTAGCACTCTTGAAATGCATGGCTTCGATGATTTGGCCCGAGAAATGCACCTGAAAGAAGAAAGCAAGCAGAAGATATACACGCTGGGCAAGTCCTATGACACTGTGTCCGGAAGGGTCGTGACTATGACTGGGAAAACTAAGGAGGGAGAAGGGGCAGTGCCGTCCTCGGTGCTGGAGGCGCTTCAGAAGATGGAGAGGGGCTCGTCAGAGACGGTGAAGATGCTGTCCTCCGGCCTGGCGGAATACGAGGTCCTGGAAGCCCTTGCCGAGGAGAAACCCAAGCGAGGACCCGAGGTCCAGGTGACAAAACGCAAGCTGTCGGAGTCCCTGGCTCCCATCAAGGAAGCTGAGTCTCGTCGGCAGAGCCCTGAAGATGAGGACGCCAAGAAGGCTCCAGAGCCGGGAAGGGAACCCGCGAGCCGCACTGGCCCTGAGAGCCTGCAGTTTGGCAAAATGGAGCAGGTGCAAGAGAGTGAGGTCTTAAAGGTGGGCCTCTTTGGTCCCCGAAGGAAGAGCCTGTCCGAGTGGAGATACTCCCAGGAGCCGGCCTTGACCGTCGCTACTGCTCACTACCTAACCGAGTCGTCCACGTCCCGCGTGGTGGTAACCAGTGGCTCTCATTCAGCCGCAGCTTGAGATTCCAGCATGATCCATTTCGAGGCAGCATCCCTTCCACCCCAAACCTTCCCGTTTCTCTTGATGCTTGGCTTTATGTTGAGAGCAGCCAACCCAGCTTTTTAAGTTTTGTGTTTTTTTTGTCATGGTTCAACCAGTACCTCAATCCCAAGAGAGCCTTAAGACACTTTCCGTTTTATTTCCAGCTACCCGTTCCCAAGACCTGATCACGCTGCTGTGGCTGGCAATGAAGGAAAAACCCGAGCTGCTTTAGTCGGCGCCACCCTCCTCCTAACTACTCTCTCTCTCCGCTTTACCAAACAAGAGCTCTTGGTCACCGCAAATGGCTATTTTATTTCCCTTCCTTTTCCTTTCCAAACTCCGCCTCTTGGATTCCTTCACCCTCCTCCCCTTGTCCTCCGCCTCCAGTTGTGTCTGACAAGCTGTGAATATGTGTGTGCCCACGGTGTGTCCCCGCTGTGCCTGACTCTGTCTTTCTCTGTCCACTCAGACTAAGCAGTCCTCCAGTGAGAAGCTCATGGATGGTTCTGAGATCCTCAGTTTGTTAGAGTCTGCACGAAAGCCGACAGAGTTCATAGGAGGGGTTACTTCCACTGCTCAGAGCTGGGTTCAGGTGCCCCTTGCTTTCCATCCTGCGTGTCTCTGGCCTTGCTTTGCTTTCTGTTTTATACAGAGCGGGTGGGTGCACGTGTCTTGCATTCCGGTGGCTTTGCCTTCTAGACCTCAGAGGTGGCTTCAGTGACAGTCCTTTGTGGCTGCTTGTGTCACCATTTCAAAACCATACTTGGGGAGCAAGCATAAAGTCGAGCAGTTAAGACGCCAGCTCCCCTGTGAGTCGCTGCATTTGACTCCTGACTCCAGTTGCCTGCCCACACAGGCCTTGGGAGGCAGCACTTAAACAGCTAGCATTGAGTTCCTGCTGTTTACATGAGAGACCCAATTTTGTTCTAAGCTTCCACCCTTAGCACTAGCCCTGCCTCTGCCCCAGGGCATTGTGGGAATTTGGAGAGTAAACCAGCAATGTGTGTTTCTCAGCCATGCTGAGAAATTCTAACAACATTTCATTTCTACAAGCATTATATCTCATCTGTTGGGTCTGAGCAAGCAGCCAATACTAGTGTGAATGTGCCCGATAGCTTTTGTTATGTGTTTCTGGGGGTTTCCTTTTGTTTTGTTGTTTTTATTTGGTTTTGTATTGCATTGTCTCTGCAGAGCAGAAGTGGTTTAGTTGGCAGGTCTGGTTGGAGCACATGGTTTGGGGCGGGAGCAGGTGTCAGAGATTCTGATGGGAGGGGTGGAAGTTAATTTACATTTTCGATCTATTTCTGGTTATAAGCACTTGCTACTGGCTGTATGCATTCCTAGTGAGTGGCAGCTGTGCTATGCTGTTTGAGAGTCACATTGACACCAATGTCTTTCCCCCATGCAGAAAACCGACACCAAGCCAGAGAGCAGTGAGGCAGAGAGCACCACACAGCAGCAGCTTCTGGGCGCGGAGAAGGTGGTGCAGGAGACGGTGCTGGTGGAGGAGAGGCGGGTGATAAACGTGCATGCCAGCGGGGACGCCTCTTCTGCAGCCAGCGAGGAAGCCGAGGCCGCCACCCAGCCCTGCCCTGCAGACACTCCCAGCGGGAAGGCCAAGGAGGGCTTGGCTGTGTCCGAGCAGGCCAAGGAGGAAAGAGGGGAGGAGGTGGAGAAGACAGAGCGGGAAGAGACGGGTGCCAGGTCCCAAGAGGAGGAACAGAGTGTGGCTATCCACGTCTCGGAGACTTTGGAACAGAAACCTCACTTTGAGGTAGCTAGCAGTTAATTGCATGGTGGTAAAGGATCTCCATGGCGGTTGCCAGGTTTGGGTTCACCTATCAACGTGGAATATTTTTGCTGGCAGGAAACCTGGTAGGCACATGGTTGGCCAAGAGATGAGAAAATCTGACCAGTAATTTCCTGTCAGTTTACTTTGATCCAAAATTATGGAAAACCAAACACCAAACGCCAGAACTTTCATTTCTGTCTTATTAAGCTCCCTAATGTCTTCAAACTTGGTCTTTATAAGAAGTTACTAAATTAAAGGCCTATTTCTTGATCTGACTCTGTTTAACTTATGAGATAGAGAGGGATAATATTTAAAACTTTCTTGAATTTCCTTTAAAATAGTATATTTAGCTCATTTTAGATTTCTTTTAAAAAACCACTATGAAATCTAAAAACCTCAACTGCGTGGGTGTGTGCGTTTCCCCCTACCCTGTGCCCATGGTAGAATGGCAATGTGTACAGGCTATTGTCCCATGCTGTCATAAAGGACCAGAGGAGACAGGGGGGGCCCAGAAGTGTGTGCGAATGCTAACAGCCGCCCTGCCCACTTGCCATTTGCACAGTCGTCCACTGTGAAGACGGAGACCATCAGCTTTGACAGTGTTTCCTCAGGGGGAGTGAAGCTGGAAGTCTCTGCTAAAGAGGTGCCAGTAGTTCACACAGAAACAAAAACCATCACATATGAGTCCTCACAGGTGAGTCAGCGTCGCAAGCCCGGCCCCTCTCCCTTCAGTGGCTTAGAGCATTTGACTTAGGAATCTGTGTCATCGAATGCATGGGGCCCAAGGACCCAGGAGCCAGGCCGTCTCTGTCCGGAGCAATGCAACGATTAAAATCTCATGATGGTAGAGCAGCAGGTGACTTCAAGGTATTCTTAGATCTCAGAGTGTAGCAAAAGGCTCAGAAACCGCCCTCTGCAGTCATGGATAGGAAAGAATGTTGACTTTACCAGCCGCTGCTCAAGTCCCGGCTTTCAGTGACAGTTCCCTCTGGCCATTGCTAATGGGTTATTCTTTGGAGCATCAGTGCAGTTACTGTGGGAGATAATTGCATCATTTGTAAGGTTGTATTTTTGGGGGGGGGTGATGGGAGTTACATATTTAGCTAATTCTATTATTATTTTAATTATACATATGTACAGAGTACAGTATGACTTTGTATAATGATAAGATGGTGACAGGTTTTTTTTTTTTTTATTGTTGCTTACATTATATTATGTAGTACAGTTTTATAGGCGCTGGGGATCCCCCCCACCCCTCCCATACCCCTCCCCCCATGGTGGATTCCTCCACCTTGTTGCATAACCATAGTTCAAGTTCAGTTGAGATTCATTGCTTGCAAACACATGCCTAGCATAAAGTTCAGCGTCTTATTGTCCAGATAAGTTCAGTGGCCTCTTGGGGAGACCTTCTATGGTCTGAAGATAGGTCTAACAGAGTAAAGATCCGGTCAGTTAAAAGCCCCAACAAGGCCTCAGTATCATTATACAACATTATGGAATTAATTGACATAGTATTGGGTAAACAATATGTTAAAAATAATGCAAGTTCCATTCTTCGAAACATCTGGGTTGAGACAGTATCAATGACAGGTTCAAAAAATAACAAACAACCAAACAAAAAATTACAGGTTAAATCAAGGCAAACATGTGGTATCTAATCTTTTGGGATTCGCTCATTTCCCTTAGCATTATAGTTTCCAGTTGTGCCCATTTAGCCACAAAGAACTGCATTTTGTTTTTTTTAATAGCTGAGTAGTATTCCATGGAGTAGATGAACCAAAGCTTTCTTATCCAATCTTCTGCTGATGGGCATTTCGGTTGCTTCCATGTTTTCGCAATTACTGATTGTGCTGCAATGAACATAGGGATGCATGTTGGTTTGTCGTAAAACAGGTGTTTTGGATATATTCCTAGGAGTGCTATTGCTGGGTCATATGGTATGCAGATGGTGACAGGTATTTTTAGAAAAAATTTTGATATGCACTTAATGATTATACATATTTCTTGTGTATAGTTCATTAAATGTAGATGATATACACTAATCAAATTAGAGTAAATTAATGTGTTCATCTCTGTTTGGGAGCATTGAACTTATATTTGTTTTAAAAATGCGTTAACAAGTTACTGGAAACTGTAAGTCATGGGTTAGTGTAACTGACTTGTGCTACCCAAACTGTGTTTTGGTGACTTAGCCAACCTCTTTCCCTACTCCCGTTCTCCCAAACTTTCATAGCCTCCAATGATGCATCCCTAATGTTCTAAGTTACAAATCAAACCTCAGCAGAAGAACTGCAGTCACTTGCCTGTGTTATGTCTGCCCATGTGCTGTGTAGGTCGACCCTGGCGCTGACCTGGAACCAGGCGTGCTGATGAGTGCACAGACGATCACATCTGAGACCACCAGTACCACCACCACCACCCACATCACCAAAGTATGAACAGCAGGAAAGGGGGGAGGCGTGGCTGCAGGGGGCTCCCACCAGTACCACCACCACCCTCATCTCCAAAGCATGAACAGCAGGAAAAGGGGGAGGCGTGGCTGCAGGGGGCTCCCTGACACCCTGGGACAGGCTGGGCTGCAGAAGTACATGGCTGACCATCAGGCTGCAGGAGGAGCGTCTGCTGCTTCTGCAGCTACAAGACACTTGCTTCCCCCACACCCCCATCCCCCCACTCCCCCCCAACGCCGTGCTGGTTTCTGTTTGACAATATGCAAGTCGGCCCCTGAGAAGGAACACTAGTGCCGCATCCTTGGGGAAAAAAATTTCAGGGGAAAAAAAGTTGGCATCCGTCCTATGCGTGTACAGACCATCTTCTTGTTAGTGTTACAAAGCAGTACAGTAGGTATGTGGTTCTCAGTACTTTAGTGCTTTATTTCAGGGCAGTAAGTACGCAGGGAGAAATGCATAGGTCAAATGCAAATACTGTGCTGTTGCATTTAAACAACTTGATGAACATTCTCAGATTAGTCATCCACAGGAGTCCTGGTACCAATCCCCTGGAATAGTGAGGACCCCGGGGTATGCTCTGGTATCGTAGGCCTGAACCCAAGCACTGCATGCTGTGTCCACTTCAGAAATTGGAATACTCAAGAAGTGCCACAGAGTTCTGTTTAAATTCCTGAAGAATGAACGAACAGCACCTGGTCTACCCTTGTCCTCAAGTTCGATGATGACTGCTCCTCTCTGCAAGCAGACACATCTAACTCCCCTCTTTGTTTCAGACTGTGAAAGGAGGCATCTCAGAAACGAGAATTGAGAAGCGAATAGTCATCACGGGGGACGCAGACATTGACCATGACCAGGTAGTGTGTGAGAGATGGTTAATAGCCCCTGGCCGAGAGACAGGGAAGCTCATTACCCTACTGTGTTCTTCTGGTCCAGCCCATATTCTAAACAAATTCCTGACTTAACTCTCCCCCGTATGATTTACAATTCCTTCTGTAATCATTGTATCTCATTTGTAAATTGTGGATTAGAGTTAGCGCGTAAGTCTCCACCTGGCTACTGATCATGCATGTCCCACCTCCTTTTTGTTTTTGCCCTTCTGTGATTTCCTGGGGATAGGCGCTGGCTCAGGCAATTAAAGAGGCCAAAGAGCAGCACCCTGACATGTCAGTGACCAAAGTAGTGGTTCATAAAGAGACAGAGATCACACCTGAAGATGGAGAGGATTGACCCAGGTAAGAGGTGGCACCCGCCCTCCAGGCTGGCATGTGGCATGGGGCACTCCCCGCTCATCCTTCCCCTGCTGCCTCCTCTCCTTTCCTCTCACTGGCATGCTCAGCGCTGGTGACCAGACACTGGAGAGCCAGTGTGCAGATGTTGACTTGTCTCGTGTCTGGGAAGGCCTGTCCTTGCGGGTGTCTTGCCTGTGCTGCCAGTTGGAGGAGAAGGGAACAGCACAGGCTTGGCTTGACTCTGCTACTGTTTGCTGGTTCCTGCGGTCTCTACATTCTTGGCAGTATCCACATTTGAAATATCAAATTGGATTTCACTGGCTGTGCCACCTGATCAGAGCTAAAGCCATTTTGTTCTGAAAGGTGCAACTTGTGTGTTCCAACTCCCAAGAAAATAAAATGCATCCTTTTTCCTTCACCACTGTAGCCCCATTGAAAGCTTTTACTCTAACTGTATTGGGGGATATAACCTGTTTATGCCTTGTTGGGAAGGAGGTCATTTTTTTTGTTTTGAATTTGAGCCTTTTGGGGATTCTTTGGGTTCGTTGGGATGCTTTCCCTCCCCTGTTGTAGCTTTGTGTCTCGGGAAGAGGAGGCAGCGGTGCCGTCCGTCATGCTGCTTCCTCCACCACGTGCATGCTTTTCCATTACTGATTGGCCCGTAGCATGAGCAGCCCACATCCTCTGTGTGTGCCCATAGGCTTGTCTTATGTCCAGACCTGCTGGGCAAGAGCTTGTGGAACCATGAGCATCCCTTAAAAGGCTTCAAATGCTGAATGCAAAAGGTGACCTCTGTGCACTTGGCCATGCGATAAAGTCTTAAAGAGACTACAATACCTACAATACAATACCTACAATTCAAAACAAACAGAGATGAATGAATAGCATCTCTTAAAAGAAAAAAAGAAATTTCAAGCTCACTCAGCGTATTCGGAACAACAGTAGAAGGGGACTTCCACACTGGATCTTAGCCAAAAGGCCGAGAAGCGATAGGAGGGGACTTCCAAAAGATGATAGAAACGCAATTAAAAGATAGGTTTATTTTGGTGCAAAAAACTCCATGCGTGAATTTTTTTTCATGATGCACATTTTCCATAAGACCCCTTTTTATGCATGGATTTTTTTTTAAGTACTAAAATAACTTACCTATAATTGCATTTTTCCCAAACCTTTTTGAAGTACCCTGATAAATTTGGGGAGGTAGGAAGCCACAAAGATTTTCCCTCAATGGGCTTCACCCACACGAGTGATGTCATTCATGGAGAGAGGATATATCATCCTCGGACTCGGAATAATGTTGGAATGCTAAGATGTCTTTGAAAAAGAGTGTTTCCTCCTCTTCTTTTTGTGACCATGATCAAGAAACACCCTCAAATGTTTTAAGGTGAATAGCTAATCCCACGTCTTTTCTGCAGGAATAACTTAGCTTGCACGTGAATCCAGTCACACAAACTGTTAGGAAAGCCAGAGCCTCTGTGGAGTTGCCTCTTCTAACCCAACTGACTCGCATCTGTCCGTGGAAAATTTCAATCCAGAAGAACTGACCTTGACCGTTAACAAAGACTGGCAGAGAGATCTTCCCATAATAAAGCAATCTGAATCAGCGTCACTAAACTGATATTGCATGAAGCAACGATAAAATTGCAAAAGAGCAGCATTTTTAATTTTCACACGACGTCTCAGTTTCCTGCTATTCCTGCACGTTCACAACCCACAAGTATAAATCGTGATCTCATGCAACACGTAAACGATCCATGCCTTTCATAGTTTATTATTATTCAAGTCTCCACAAAAATTACAGTTTCTTAGGTGACAAAACTGCTGTTTACAGATCCATGAAGATTTCTGTCTAGGTCCGGTGTGTCTGATTTACCCCAGATTAGATGTGCCAAGAACAGAGTTTATTCAGTAAACAACTTGAATCTCGTCCTGTTTCCTCTGGTTTTATTCTTCTCACCCATAATCAATAACGACTCTCTGATCCTCTGGAAATATTTAATGCTTTTACTCTTGCTTTGTGGATCTAATTTAATTCGTCATAAGGTAGTAATGATTTTAGCATATTAATGTGGTTTCTTCTTTGTCTTACACTCTGATCTGTTCAACCTGGAAAGCTTTTCAGAGTTGCCTAACATGTCCTGAATATGTAAATTGTCATCACTTCGGGGAGGGAGAAAAAAACAACTGTATTTTTGTTAGTTTGCATTATGGTGAAATTTCACTCCATGAAAATGTGGGTTTCTGTTGCTTTGTTTTTTCTTCATTTCCTTTTTCTTTCTATTTTTAAATTAATTTTTCTTCTTTTATGTGAAAAAGAAAAGCCTTTTATTTCCAAATCCGGTCCATATTTACAATCTAGTTCAGAGCCAAGCCTTAAACTGTACAGAATTTCCACTGTAATTAAGACTATTTAGTGTTTAGTTATAAATAGCCTTCAAAAAGATATATTCCACATTACACTGTCAGCCTCATCACAGCCCATGGTGAATGTAAGATTCTGCATAGAGAAATAAAGGCGATAAATGCATTGAAATCTCTTGTTTGCTGTATAATGATTTCAGTATTGTTTGTGTCAGTCCAGAGGTACAGGTGCATGACTTCAAAGAACCAATTCTTCGGCCTAAGAGGGATATCTTGTCCTTGGAAAATTTCTAAACAAGAGCAAACTATATGTTGTACAGGGATTGAACCTAGGAACAAAGTATTCCTGTAAAAATCTTTGTTTGCCTAAGAAAACTTTTAAAAAACACATCATAGACTCACTTTCCAAGTTTTCATTTGAGAAGAGGCTGTGTGCCACTGAGAGCTTTTAAATCTGCCAAGGAGACACCTCTCTCTGCTCCAGCAGTTCCACAGCTGACATAACCAGAGGCCGTATCCTGCAGCTCATCCATGTCAAACTTTCCTGTCGCCTGGGTCATTTCTACCAAGTAGATACAAGATATGGCTCTTGCCCACAGCATCAGCAAATTGAAATTTCGGATGGACTAGAGTGCCTGAGTTAATGCCTCACAGCTCAGACACTGGAGGGTGCCGTGAAATGGCTCAACTGTTTGGATTTGGGCTACATGTACCAAGGCCTGGATCGATTTCCTTGCTCCCGGCTTCAGCCTCGACCATTGTGGACACTTGAGGAATGAACCAGACCAGAATGGTGCATGCATCTCTTTCCCTCCCCTGCTCTCAATAAATAGTGGCTTTAAGTGTATTAGATCAAAGTCTTAACATTTACATTTAGAAGTTAGTCAGTTACTATCTAAATTCTTAATGCAGTAAGTTTCATGCTGGGTTTCTCTCCTGTAGGAAACTGACTTACGTAGACTCTCAGTTCACCCTGCATTTTATGCAGCTGTAACTACTGATGGTATGAGAGTGGTCCCAGATACCACACTTTCAGAAAAATTCCGCTTCAGGTAGCTATTGGCCTCATAGCAAAGACAAGCTTGATAGCCAGTTTTTCTAAGAAAAAATTAAACCTTCCCTGCAATCAGCAGAAAAGCAAATTGCAAACCTCAGTGCATGCTAGTATGGACCTGTAGATGCCATGCAGTCTGCACAAGCAGTAGTTCTGATGTCACCAAGCCCAACACTCGCACAGTTTCTCTGGACTCAGAGTGAGCCACCTTCCTCCAGGGGTCAGTCAGTGCTCCCTGCTCTCCATCCAGTGGAACTTGAAGGGAGTTCAGCCAAGGAGTGAGGGTTCAGCCCATGGGGACACATGTCCTCCTCCTTCCTTCCTTAGTGTGGAGCTTAGGGGCAGAGCTGTGAAGTTGCTAACACAGCCACTGCTTTGAGAAGAGATAGGAGGGCAGCACCAGCCCTGGGGAATTTCATAGCCGTTCTCTTTCCCAGAGAACTGTCTCATGCCCTTACAGTCCACACTCCATCCAAACTTGAGAGCTGCTACATCCTGAGTAATGAGCAATATTGTGCACCTTACAGGAATGCTCAGCCCAACTTTTGGCACTTAGTGTAACCCATATCATCATATTACCATCTTTCCAGCACATTGGCTGTTCTAGTAGCTAAATCTGCCTCATCCCTAGCTATTTTTGAAAAGTCAACAGAATGGAAAATTTAAGTAAGAATGTGTTATATATTATGCACACCTTCCAGTTAGAGCCTTTTTTTTTTCTTATTACCTCAAATGAATCAGTCTAAGAAATACCTGCCTCGGGATGTCACAGAGGTGACTTTGGGTTTTCATCAATGTGATTTGTGAAATAAAATTGGATTTATCTGGGGGATTTTTTTTTTAAGACTTTTTTGTGGCAGGCCATTGTTGCATGCAAAATTGTGTTGTGAGAGATGACATTTTTGTTTTGACAGTTGCCAGAGCTGCTTCATTCTGAGGGTGGGTGGCAGAAGGAGTGCATGCTGTCCCGCGAATGTGCTCGTTATTGCACGTGCCCACTCTCATGCAGGGGCTGTGCACCAGAGGTGGCTGGGATAGCCATCACACCATGGTATCCTGCCCAGAAACTTTTCCAGCTGTGTTTTATGCCCCTCCAGGCACAGGGACAATAAAGATAACTCATGGAGAACAAGAGGTCAAATTGGATAACCGAACCCAAGAGTCATATGATGCATAAAAATAGCTTACTTGTGCAAATGTTCTAGTTCTATTCATCTTGCTAAGACAGAAGTGTGGAAGGACTTCTCACCACTCTCTCCCTCACCCATCATTTCCTCAAATCAGTAGTCACACTGTTCCTTAAGTTTAACCGTGATGCCTGACAATTAGGGTTTCCACATTGCCACCCCATGTCAACCCCAGTCCCATATGTGGTCATTTGTAATCTTTTGAGAAACACCACTCTAAATCTGTCACTCCTGCACTTGGAAATGAGTTCAGAGCTCTGTGCTGCTTTTCCTGTGGAGGCCTCAATTCCTCACATTCAGCTGCAGGCTTGTGTGGACTAACCTCCTGTGACACCCCCTCCCAGTTGCAGCAATGTGCAGATGAACAGCCCTATTCCACTTAGCCCCCAATTTTGCTTTCAATCCAACTTTAAATAGTCTTTTCATGACTTTGCTGGCAAGTTTTCCATATTATATGCTCACAAATCTAACAGAATATATCCTGACTATCGTATTTACTTCTGTCCAGTTTTTACGATTTATTTATTTTTATTGGAAAGTCGGATTTACAGAGAGGAGGAGAGACAGAGTGGAAGATCTTCCATGTGCCGGTTCATTCCCAAAGTGGCACAATGGCCGGAATTGAGTCGATCTGAAGCCAGGAACTTCTTCTGTGTCTCCCATGTGGGTGCATGGTTCCAAGGCTTTGGGCCATCCTCTACTGCTTTCCCAGAGCACAAGCAGAGAGCTGGATGGGAAGCAGAGCCACCAGGACACAAGCAAGTGTCCATATGGGATCCTAGAGTGTGCAAGGCGAAGACTTCAGCTACTAGGCTACCACACCATGCCCCTCTGTCCAGCTTTTTTAAGGAATCTCTTCAGATGCTGTAAGTCTGTTGGCTGACCAAGCACAATGTCTGGCATATAGACTCCCTGTTTGCACACATGAATGAACATAGTAAAAGGTTTCTTGGGCATGGTGCAGTATTGTTATCTGTTTTCCCTGGAGCGCAGTGAGTGGGGAGAGGTGGGTGGATCCCCGTGGAGAGATCCTATTTCAGATCTTTCATTGGTTGTCACCATAGTCCTGCATTCTGTGGAAGGTATCTTTTCCACAAGCAATGGATTTTTCCCAAAGAGATAACATTAGAAGGAATAAGGAGTTTGGAGTCCTCTTTTGGAGGGGACATGACTGTCCCTCTGCTGAAGTCAGTTGAGTTTATTTGATTTCAGGTTTAGCTCTGGTACATTATGCTTGATATTCATGTGCCTTTGGAACTATTCTTAAAAAGTTTCAGTTGCCATGCAAATAGCAAACTGCAGACTCACTGCAGAGTTTACAGACATGGAACTCATAACCACGTTTTAACATCTTGGGCATCAGCGCTTCGATCCCAGCAATGTGGAGGTGAGAGTAGTAAAAAACCTTGGCGCTATTTTTAACTCCATTATTTCCTTCACTCTGTGAAAGATCTTTCATTTCTGACCTTCTTGTAGGGTTAAGGCCTCTTTGTATTTCATCTGGACTACTGCATTAGCTACTAATTGATCTTCACGTTCAGATCATTCACCATGAGCACCACTCCCTAAGTCCTTCATGGTTCTAGCTTAATTTTAAAAACACTGTCAACACACCCCGAAAGCCCTGATGAGTACTCCTCATTCCCTAAAGTTTAATTCTAAGCTCCAAAGCTGAGTTGAAACTACATACATGATATAGCCCAACTTTCTTTTTTTCCCCATGATTTGAAAGCCAGAATTACAGATAGAGAGAGAGAATAAAGATCTTACATCTGCTACTTTACTCCCCAATGGCTGCAGTGGCCAGAGCTGGACCAGGCCAATCCAGAAGCCTGAAACTCTGTCTGGGTCTGCCACATGGGTGGCAAGGGGCCAGGCACTTGGGCAATCTTCCACTGCTTTCCCATTACCAGAAAGCTAGACCAAAAGTGGAGCAGGCATGGTTCCAAGTGGTGCCGTTTTGGGTGTCAGTGCTGCAGGAACAGAGCACTCCAGGGCTTCAGCACCAGTCCTACACCTCTGTTTCTCATGACATTCTGCAAAGCCAGCTTTGCATTTCCATCAGCACAACAGTTCATAACAGGTAAAAGGTGGAAGCTTCCCAAGTCTCATTAGCAGGTAAGTACACTGTGGGTCCAATCAAATATTATTCTGCCTCCAAGATGAATAAAGTTTTCAACGTACTGTAGCATGAATGACTCTTGAAAACTCAAGTCAGACACAACAGGACAAATATTCTGTCTTTACACTGCCTCTAGGTGCCTAGAGCATTTGCGTTCCTAGAGACAGGAAGTAGAGTGGTAACAGGAAAAGGCTGAGGCAGGAGGAAAGGGAAGGACATTGCTCCATGGTTACAGAGTCTCTACTTGAGTGGACGACAGAGGTTTGGAAATAGATCATAGCAGTTGTTACATGACATTGAATGTACTCAATACCACTGAAGGGTATACCCGAAGGTCATTACAATGACAAACTTCTTGTTACAATAATAATTACATTTGATTTCCCAATAAAGAATTTTCCCCAAGTTCCCTCCATTAAGATCAGGTAGAGCAGCCCCACCACATTCTCAGTGTTTCCAATCAGATTTTTGTTAAGCTTTTAATTTTATTTTTCATTTATGTAAAAGAGGGAGAGAGACATCCCCCATCTTCTGGTTCAACTCTTCAAATGCCCACAATATCCAGGGGTGGGCTGAGCAAAATCCAAGAGGTGGGAACTTCATCAAGTGTGCCCCGGGGCTGCCGGCACCTTAGGACTTGGGTCATGAGCATCTACCTCTCAGTGGGATTGGCAGCAGAGGCGGGACTGGAGCCCTCACACCCCAATGTGCAGTGCTGGGGTCCCAAGCAGCATCTTAACTATTGTGCTACATGCATGCTCTTCCAATCAGTTCTTTAATTTCCTGCTCATAATCAGAACCCCT